ACTTTGTTTTGAATATTGTTGGTATCTTTAAAATAGCTCAAATGTCTCACATTCCTGTTCTTGTACTCATTTTCACTCAATTTTTCTGTTTTTGAACCCATCTCACTCTCTCTGTTTACCCGTCTGTCTGCGTTCAGTTTAATACATGGATGTCTGACCGCGTCTTCCCTCTGCTGTATTAATAGAAGAGCATGTGTAATGATAGAACCACCTGGCTAAAACAGCAAACGGATCTAACACATTCACATACTCTCTCTCTCTCTCTTATTTTATCACACTCGCATGCTTCTCACAAACTACTCGGTGCGTTATCTTCACAAACACATACACACTTTCCCACGCATCTAAACACAGCTAGTAACATCTCTGGAGAGTTTCCCCCATTCCTGTTTTAACACCCGATCCAACAGAATGATATCTCGTATCAGGAGCACAGTCGTGAACTTTCACAAACGTTCATATCTGAGAACCTTTAATGAGCCGCCTCACTTATAAATGATTATATGCAATCATAGTAATTCAATCGACTTTGTTTGGAATTTAAATTTGTGCCTGGAGAAAAGATATGATAAAGATATTGACCTGCCTAATAATGTTTAATAATAATTTTATTAGCTTTGCAATTTTGTATCTTTTGTAGTTTGCTATTGACATAATAGTCTATATTTTATATTGAAGACTTTGTGTACTGCAGTACTGATTTCAGTTTCCAGTATAAAGATTTGAAGCCGATGTGTGTAGCAGCAGCAGCAGGACTTTACTGAGGCATCAGAGAACAGCTGTGTTTGTTCACACTCCTTCAGGGCTTGTGAGAGTGGCGTGGATGATTATCAATACAGCATTGCATGTGTGTGTGATCCTGCTAAAGGACTGTACGCACTGTCCATGAGCACACAGCTGATGATGATGACACTGCCAGGAGTACGGGCCCCCTCCCACCCCTCAGCCTGCGACCTCAGGGTTACCTTCGTTCCCACAGCCCCAATGTACACGTCCTCATCGCTTGCCATGGGAACCCACAGGCTTTATGGAAATCTCTAGCCCCTCCTGCTGCTTGTCAGTTGTGGAGAGTGAAAAGGCCTCTGGGTAAATATTTCATCTTCAGGTCTAAGATCAGTTTAGTTCTCTTCAGTTGTGCTGCTGGTTACCCTTTGATCACATTTCATGTTTATACATACAGTATGTGTGTGTGTGTGTGTGTGTGTGTGTGTGTGTGTGTGTATATATATATATATATATATATATATATATATATATTACTAATTGTTTTTAATCAACTGGAAGAGACACAATGCAACTCTTAACTCTGTTGTGTGTTTCAGATGCCGTCACATATCATAACCTCATTATCTGTAGAGAGAAACTGCCACTCAGAATACACGCATAATAATAAGAATTGAATAATTAAATGAAGGACGTAAAGACAACATAGGGGATTGTGTAGATATTTCACTGGAACTTGGTCTTCATTACATTGTGTTCAATGTCAATTGTTCTTGCTAACCTCTGTTGTAAGAGCACTGTCCTTTTTGCTACAATCTGCCATGTCAATAAAAAATATAAGTACCAAATTGACACAACCTGCTGTTTTTTTTAAACGTAAAACCCAAATAGAGGCAACAAGATATAAGACCATGGCAGATAGATGGCTAAAAAAACAATATTAATAAATACTGTATAAAGAATAAAAGTGATATTAATATTATGAAGATGCTAATATACTCATATTAATGAAAATAAATATCATTGAAAAGGTTAGTTATCACAACCTTAGGTCACTTTTTAAAGCGTGGTTCTTTATGGAACCTCATAAAAATGGTTCTATTTGGCACCAAAAAGGGTTCTGCTATTGTTATAAGCCGAAAAAAAAATTAATTTGGTACTGTTTACAACCATTTTTCTTAAGAGTGCAACTTGTCATGTATGAAAATGTTTCTGTTAAAATAATAAAAAGCTTCACATAATCAGTGCTCTATCTATGGCCCATTAATTTAATTAATTAGAAAAAATCATTTAAACTGCCTATAAACAGCTTTGGGGATTCAATGATCTGACTTTCAATAGGCCTAACTCATAATGTCACCAGCAGGGGGCAGCATTTAAACATGTATGTCTAAAAATGAACCATGAAGATATTTTCTGTACAAAAAGTAAACCTCTATCCAACGGAAGTCGCCTCCTTGTAAATACCAACATTTGTCATGTAGATTTTCACTAACTGAGTGTGCAGGACAAATTCCTTTTTAAATCATTTATAAACCACGAGGAAAAAATCGTTATGCTTGTGTTTCACAGGAGGCCCCATTTCATGTTGTTTTGTTCTTGTTTGTGACCACTTGATGGAGCTATGTCTTTTTAGAAAAGGCATTATCTTTTTTTTTTTTTTTTTTTTTTTTTTTTTGAAAAGGCATTATCTTGAGGCAGTCTATTGAGACAGGGATGGAGTAAAAAGATATGTTTTTAAGCTTTTTATTTCTGACGATTGTGTTTAGGCTTTAAAGTTCACGAAAGTTGTGTTCGTTTGTGAAGATTCTCTTGATAAACAAAATGTGCGAGAATCGCAAACTTTCGTTGGTCACAGAGATTCTGGAACCAGGATGACGCCGGAAGCATGGAGTTAGTTTTTACTGTTTTTACTGATGATACTTTGCTCTATATTTCTTTGCACCCCAACGAAACTTACCAATCACAATATTAACTGAATAGACAAAAACCAGTAACACTTTACAATACGGGTCTACTAATAAGCATTAATTCATGCTTAACTAATGCACAGATAATACTGAATTAATGTGAAACTAATGATTATTTAAGCTATTCATTAATGATTACCACATTAGGAACTAATTAAGAGCCTGTAAGGTTGATGTATTAGTTCATACATGAATTGTTATTAATTAAATATGTAATTGTGGATTAATTCCATAATAACTCATTTTTAAACTAATAGTATTAATTAATATGTTAATTACCAGAATGAGCCAAAGCCTTTTATTTCAACTTCCAGATAATATGACCGGTACACTAATATGCATTAATACATGATTAATTACTTCATTGTTAGTGCAAATTCATGTGCAAATTACTACAATTACTAAATGACTAGTTAATAATGATGTGCCCCAACAAGTAAAGTCATAACATAATGATACCTTTGCAAATCATTAGCTAATGATTAATTAAAGCAGACAACTGGAAGTTGAAGTGCATAGCTTTGACTAATTGTGGTAATTAATACATTAATTTACTCTATTAGTTAATAAAATATGTTAAGGAATTAATAAACAATGACAGATTGAATTAATAGCAATTCATGTATTAGTTAATCTATTAATCATATTGACTCTTTATTAGTTGCTGATACAGTAATCATCAATTAATGGTTTAGTTCTTCATGAGTTATACATTAACTCATGATTATCTGTGCATTTAGTTAAGCATGAATTAATGCACATTAGTGCACCCGTATTGTAAAGTGTTACCCAAAAACCTAAGCACGTAGAAACCTAGAATAACACTTGATGGATGTTAGACACAGCCACAACACATGATGTAGTCAGCCGGATCCGGGCCGTATCCAGATCTGACGGAGGACCTGCGCCTAGACATGATCACAACGCATGATGTAGTCAGCCGGATCCAGGCCGTATCCAGATCAGACGGAGGACCTGCGCCTAGACACGACCACAACGCATAATGTAGTCAGCCGGAACCAGATCAGATGGAGGACCTGCGCCTGGACACGACCACAACGCATGACGTAGTCAGCCGGATCCGGGCCGTATCCAGATCAGACGAAGGACCTGCGCCTTGACACGACCACAACGCAGCTCTGAAGGGTCAACAGAGAATGTGTCAACTAGACTCTCCCCTGTGAAAGTCTCATCGACACGACAACCTGTGGCACAAATCCTCAAAAAACCTGTCTCCATACCGACGTGATTAATCCGATTTTTGGGAACTGAGTGAAATGTTCTGATCCAATCTGACTTCTGACCTGTAATGCAGCCTGAATCATAATCATACACTGTTCGTTCGTTCGTTGGCCAGAAGTGACTGAGCCTGGCTTATCCCAAGGTTTATTCCTCTTCATTCTGTCACCTGATGGAGTTTCTGTCACCCACTGTGGCTTCTGGCTTGCTAAATCCGGGACACTTAATACTCAACAATAGGTTACACTTTACTTTGATAGTCACTTTCGACATTCTACTACCTACAGTATAACCATGATCAGATGATAAGAGCAAATCATTTGTGACTCATTTGTGTCTCAGTACTATGGTACGGCCTAAATCCTGACTGAAAATCCTCCCAGATATAATTTCTTCCTAAAAAGGAACACAGTCGTGAAGATACCTCCTTTTCTAGTATCTTTGACATAAAATGTAGATTCGAGGTCGGCCAGTAATTGACTAATTCTGTAGGATCAAGTTGTGTTTTTTTTTTTTTAACAAGTGTTTAATCATAGCCTGCTTAACTTTTTGGTTAGTATCCTAATGACAAAGATGAATTAATGATATTAAAAAGAGGATCTTTGACCTCTGGAAGCATCTCTTTCATTAGCTTAGTTGGTATAGGGTCTTATATAACTGTTGTCGATTTAACTAGTTTAAAAAAATCTTCCTCTCCTATAGTAATGAATGAATTGATTACTATTGTATTGCAATATGTAGCAATTCAAAGTCAATACCAAATCAAAACTAGTTAACACATCCTTTGTAATCGAAAAGATTTAATGACAAAATGTGTTTACACTTAAAATAGTTACAAAATAGATGTATGAGATAGTGATAACTTATACTATTAATTGTAGAGAGAGAGACCCAAGAAAGGGACCCAGAGAATAAAAGAGACAGAGCAACAGTTACAGTCTTGTTTTATCCTTTCCCTGACCATCTGTCTTTAACCCAAACGAGAGACGTGCAAACTGACCAATAAGATACTTACTTCTTCCCCCATTTTAACCCCCCCCCCCCCCCCCTTTAAAACCCACTTCCCCAATAACAGAAGTTATCAAGACCGTAAGTTCCTCTTCAAGAACATATTATTTGTGTATAACATATCCTCAAACGATCTCGAGCGTAAAAAAAAGTTCTTAAATAAACATCCACCATGTTTCATGTCTTTGTAATCAGAAATCTGTGATTCTCATTTTGTTTGTTTGTGCTTCCATCCCAGACAGGGACTTTTGAAATACTTTCATGTATCCCAAATTATACTTTTATGAAAGTTTAAGATACTTTTATGTGGGTCTCTTTAGGTCCTTCCAGATGTCTATTAGCTGCTGTGGGGATCCCAGGATTGTTGTAATGACCCTGAGAAAATCCTCTCGTTTATATTGTCCCAGATAGGCTCTGAACTGTGAAGGGTCAGGGGGGGATGAGGGTGCAAAACCCAAATGTTTCACACAAGCCCCCACATATGCGTCTTCTATGTTGAAGGGCTTTATTTCCTTGGAAGCCTCAACTATTTTTTCTGGCAGGTCATTGGAGAAAACATATCCCATTCCCAGCAGGTAAGTGGGGTAAATTGGTTCGGGGTACGACTCCTCTGACACGTACCATTTTGAGTTTGTGTCTCTAATGACAGGCCGGTTCCACATTACCATTCCAGTGATGTAGTTCTGTCTGGGTGTGTTGGGTGCCAATAGAAGAGTAACCAGGTTTTCCAGGTTTAAGTACATGTCCGAATCGACCTTCATACTGAAACTGGCTTGAGGGCAACGAGTGGCCAACCAGTCCATGATCACCATCGTCTTTATGGTCAGGTTGTAGTACGAGTCCACAAAGTTGCTCTGCAGTAAGTCTCTGTGTTGTCGGCTCTCTTCCTCCAGCTGCTGTTGAGCTTTTTCAGAGTCGGATCCTCCAGTCAAACCCACCAAGAAGAGAGTCATCACTGCGTTTCCTTGGACTGTGCTCTCATTCCCCCACGTGCTCCGGATGGCGTTTCGAGCTTCTACCTGATGGGGCGCCACAGGGACCATCAAGACCAGGAACGGACTCTGCTGACATTTATCAGGTTCATCCAGAATGTAATGATAGTTGCTTGGATGAGCTATATGATAACTAATTGTTGAACCTCTTTGTTGTATTTGCTGATTGGGCAAATGCGCTAATGTATCTTTTTGATTATGATCGGCCCAAATGCTGTCATTTACCTTATAGTGAGTCTGATTCATGATTTTAGTAAACCATGTTTTAGGGAACGTAATTGTGTCCAAAGTGAAATCAGAGGCGTAAGCAACGGCAAGCAATAAGAATGTCAATGTAAGCAGCAGAAAAAATGCCGTTTTAAATTGATGAATACATGGACATCTATCCTGAGCCAAACTGCATAGAGAAAAACAAAAGAGAAACAGGTCAAAATTAGTCTCACAGTGAAACAACAGAATATTTTATTAAAATTTAATGATTTATCACAAAAATAACTGTTGCAAATCTTTAACTATATTTACATGTTACATCAGTTATGATACTGATTTAAGTTTCATGAACTTTAAGTTCACAGCTTTTGTCAGAAATGTTGACACGGACTTTACTTAAAGATAGCTTGCAGTAAGTTGCATTCTTTGACTGATTCAGAGAATTGGTTAATTGAATGATTCTTCAGTTGGATTCAAATAGCATAGGATTTCCAAATCATGGCCTGGAGGGGCGAGAAAACGCAGAAGTTCAACGTGTGAAACTATTCCGAACAATTTATTAAAGGAACTATCTCATAAGAGTCATTTCTTCGTAGATTGCAGAAGAAATGTTCCTGTATGACTTTTTTGCCGCGATTCCGAAGAATATGATGTAAGCTATTTGTCCATCACATTAGGAAATAGTTAGCCTGGATGCCAGCCTGAACAACATTTTTTGGTCGGGAAGTTCGGTCTGGACTCGATCCATTGAGGAGTAATTATGATCAGTCAAAAAATGGTCGGGCCAATCAAATTGCCAGGGCGGGCTTTATAAGATGATGGACAGATGATCTGCAGGGACGTAATCATCACGTTATCAAAGAGCGCTTAACTGTTTTCCCTCAGAGATGACTGCAGCTGGAGAATTGAGATGTACTATAGATTCCTCTGTCACGTCTGTTGTAAAATAAAACGACTGCGCATTAATTTTAATAGACGAACCGAAAACTGCAATCAAGGCATTTGTTGATCGTAAAAATATTTTTGCCGTCCTTCCTACATGATTCGGCAAAAGTGTAACTTGTGGTTTAAGTGTAACTTGTTTAAGTGTAACTTGTGGTTAAGTGTTGTGGTTTCTCCTTTGGTCACACTCATGGAGGATCAAGTGAAAAAAGCAATACTCGTTATTTTACTTCTAAAATAAATAAGTTCTGTAGTTGACAACTGTGATATGCAAAGTAGTTGACTTACTGCATTGCTCTGATTGGTTGTAGGGGTGTAACAAAGGGTTGTGACCCTTACACAAAACGTGTATAAACACAAATCTTATTTTTTGCGATTTTACAAAGGTCTATGGGGAAAATGCATAGTTTTTAGATCGAGGGAACCCATGCGCCGCTAGCTTCCGAGTTGTCCTACAAAGTGACGTCATCACTTCGGCACCATTCAACGCTTATCTCAGCTGCAGTCAAATGATCTAATCTGATTTTGACCATTGTATTCAAATAACATCAACTACTCCATAATAAGTTACTGTAGCTGAGAGATCTTCAACCTAATCGCCTGAAGAAGATAATAAAGCTCTCCAGGATCGCTTGAAAATACACAGGCAGGTGTGTTGAAGCAGGTTGGAAATAAACTTTACAGTGTGTCGCCAGGAGCAGAGTTAAAGACCTCTGTCATAGTTTATAAGAAGTTGTATGTAAACAACACAAATAACATTATAAGATATCTAAAAAATAAAACGAATGATATAAGGATGGGTTAGCTTACCTGTGCCAAATGTTTTTAATAGCCATTCTAGTGTGTTCAACAAGTATCTCTACTACTTAACGTATTCCTTCCTGAATAGTCTCTTAGACTGAGTAACCAGTTAACAGGGGTGGGGTGAGGAAGCAGTTTTTTTCTCTTGCACCTGAACAAACCCACAGCTGACCTCTTTGAGCTGTCACTCACTGTAGAGATATTAGCACAGGTATGTTCATAAATTAAACGCATTAAACACTGTAGTTTTAACCATCCTACTGTCACAGTGGTGTTCGGTTTAGTTTCTTTTCATTTGGACTTGTCTGCCTGTCACCACGTCACGGCACCTGCACTGTATCACCTGTGTTTAGTGAATCACTGTATCAGCTGTGTTTAGTCAATCATTGTTAACTATCACCTGTGTTTCGTCAATCATTGTCATATTCGCTTGTTCCGTTTGTTAAGTCAGTCTTTGTCTTATCTCCGTTGTAAATAATGTGTGTTGCTGCCTGTTCGAGATGGTTATCACTACAGAACATGAAATCCATGGGGAGGAGTCGGATCCAGATCCAACTCCTCCCACCTTACGTATTGCTAAACCCACCCGGCTCCACCCCCTGATCCCTAAACCCACCCCTAAACCTACCCAACTCCACCACTCAGATCTGGATCCGACTCCACCCCCTGGATCTCGTGGTGCTACTGGCCTGTTCTGCTGTCCTGTATTTTTGATCATCATTAAACTGTGACACCATACACTCTCAGAAAAAATGTAGTCTACAAAGGCCGGTACCCTTTAAAGAGGTTCTAATATACCATTTAGACACCATTAGCTGCGTTTCCACTGTTGGGCCAGAGATTTAAACAGGCCGTGCAGGGCTAAAAGCCCCGGGCCCAAAATCTGCTGCGTTCCCAGTGTCGGGCCAGAGGCTCTGTTGCGCTTCACTAAAACATACCTGTAACATGCCTCTCTGGAACAACGTCACACTAACCCATCTTGTCACAAATAAATGAAAGTTTTATCAGAAAACTCATCAGGGACGCGGCCCGCAAACTAGCTTTACGCTATATGCCCTATGTACACAGCATCGGTTGTCTGGTTAAGTAAATAAATATAATAAATAAAAAAATAAATTACTGGAAACAGCATGATCACAATACAAACTTAATAAAAGCGACCGTTTGCTGGCTTTTTTTTTTTTTTTTTTTGTTTACCGTAAATATTTAAAACCCAAGAATCAATGTTGTTTACCAGGTTTACAATAAAAAGTGATACACTGATCATAATGAATTAATTTGTGTCAAAATTGCAATTTAGTCACACAGAAATAAAGTGGTTTATCGTCTATTTGACAAAAGAAAGAGGACACACTTTCTCACTTTATTGTTTCTGATTATTTGGTAGTTACAGGACATATCACATTTAGAAAGAATGATCATTTCTACAAAAATGTCACCAAAAATACAACCTGAAGTGTTTTAGCACTTTCTCCCAGTATGCTAGATATGTTCAGTATGAGAAATAAAGGAAGCTTCCAAAAAAAAAAAAAAAAGCTTTATTTTATGGTAGTCCGGTATAGACATAGGCTACTGACAGATAAAATAAAAACATCATTGTGATAGCCATTATGATTTGTCTGTTTTCTTCAAGCGTTCATTTAATGTTTACTATGGTAATGGTTAGTGTCTTTTGCGTCGGTAATATTTCTACCTTATACGGTGATCAGAATCTACATCGGATCACAAACAGAAGGCTTTTAAACATGAAAGTGAGTTTTGAGGTAAATTATGTAAAAAGTCTTTAAAGCCCAGAACACACCAAGCCGACGCCGACAAGCACTGATGAAAGCCGACTGTGTTGTTGCCTCGTCCGCTTTTGTTGGGGTAAAAAGCTGCACATGAACACACCGAGAGAACTACAGGCGATTGTCAGCTAGAATGTGCGTTCTGCGCCTGTGTTTAATGAGCCAACTGTCTATTTCTGCGGATATGTCACTCTATATATTTGTCATTCAAAAAGGAAAACGACGCTGCCGGCTGCAGTAACAACGCATTCTCACCCCAAGGCGTCACCTTTGACCATGCTTCAATATTTGACGTTTTAGGCGCCCTTTATGCCGAGTTCAGACTGCATGATTTTAGCCACGATTTTGGCTCGCCGACAGGTTTTGAGAAATCGCCGACAAATGCCCGAAATCACAGGCAAATCGGCGCTCGTTCACGCGAGTGACAATCACGCAGTGTGAATGAACAAAGACGCGAACTGAGAGAATCACCGACGAGTCGCCGACGCCCGTGAGATATTTGGCATGCTAAATATCTGGACCTGTCGGCGATTCAAAAAGTGTTTTGACTGAAAACTACATCGGCGATCACCGGCAGCCAGTGAGAGAGCAAGATACAGAGCAGCAGGGAGTTCGGGGAGGAGTTATAGATCACATATCAACATGATATGGCATTGTTTCAACAAAAAAAGCTTCTTCTCGGTCTATTTGGACACAATAAATGGAAGAAAAATTAGTAGAAATTTGGCAGGAGCACTCGTGTCTGTTTCACCAGCTGTACCACAACCGGGTCGAAAAAAAAAATCTCACGTGAGAACTCCGGTCTTGCACGTGTGGTGTCGCGCGTTGTTTCCTTTTCATATCTCACGCGTGTTTGTTGTGAAATGTAGTTTGCGTGCAGCGTGCTAGACAGAGTCTGTCGGCGATTTTTCTAAAGTCATGCAGTGTGAAACCTTCTGTCGCCGATCCATCGTCCAGTGTGAACACAGCAGCGACTGAATGCTGGCCAAGATAGTCATGCAGTGTGAAAAGAGCAGCGACCTGACTACTTTGAAAATCGTGCAGTCTGAAAGAGCCATTAGCGTCACTTACATGACGCGATCCTACGGCGTCATCTAACTGACGCTAAAGGAAAGCGTCAGTTAGAGGACGCGGTTAGGTTTAGGTCTGGGGTGGGGGTAGGGTACACGCGATCCTAGGGCGTCATCTAACTGACGCTAAAGGGCGCCTTAAGCCTAGTTCACACTACGTGATTTTAAGCCCGATTTAAGCCCGATTTGCAAATCGTTGAGTCGCCGACAAGTCAGGGTGTTATCGCGTGCAAATCGCGGGCGATTAGCGGACGATTAACGCTCGCCAATCAGTTAGTGTGAAAGATCCAACAACGCATCAAAGACAGCTCGCAGACAGCTCGCAGACAGGTCACCGAGCTCAGAAAAATATCTAGCATGCTAGATATCTCGCGCAGTCGCGCGACTCAATCTCAGTGATGTCATGAGTACAGCCAATCATAGCAACGCATGGGTTGAGGACACCAGGTAAATCTTACTTTTTCTTTGCATTTTTTTTTCTCAGAGCATATCGTCGAGCAAACAGTGTGCAGCACTAGTTTCTGTCTGACGTCCATATTCGCGTGTTGTGTTCTTCTCTGCAGTTTCGCGTCATTTCTGGTTCGTTTTATTGCGTGGTTTTTCGTTACAAAACATGGTTTCTAGACCAGATAGAATCGTGTTGTTGTCAACTCGTTATTTGTTTGATTATTTTCAGGATTTAGACCGTATTATAGTACTGAAACAGCTCTCATTGAGTCACAAATTATATGCTCTTATCATCCGATCGTGGTTGTATCTCTACGTAGTGCGTTGTTAACTCGTGTAGTGAGTTACCTCCTGTTGTGGATCAATCACGTTGTGTTGTGTGGTGTGAACAGCTAAACAACTTGAACACTCATGATTTTACTGAGAGCAAGTCATGTAGTGTAAACTGCACAGTTCAGCCCGACATTTTAAAATCATGTAGTGTGAACTAGGCATAAAGCGTCAGATATTGAAGCATGTCCAAATGCTTCCCAAGGCGTCAGTTAAGTGACGCCTTGGGGGTGAGAATGGGCTGCCAGTAAACAAAGCAGCGAATGCTTACCATTTTGAATATCAATCCTGCTGAATGCTTTCTTTATTCCACTATGCACATGTTGATATTGAAATATTCGCCAAGGAACACTCAGGTAAGATGACGTAACACAAGAACAGCCTTCTATTTTTACTGTTTTGACTTCTTTGATTGCTGTTTTGCTTTAATTCTCGTGCACTGACTCTTTCACTAAGCTGAACAGCCAATCAGAGTTCTCTCTTTCCCCGACGCCGATTCAACAACATGTCGAATTGGGCGAAACAAAGCCGACGAGGACTATTTTCAGTGGTACCCATTAGAATGGTATAAAACCCTCAGGGAAACAATAACACCAATGCTCAAGCTTTGGTTTTGATGACTAGGAAATTAGATCTTCTAAATAACTTCTAAATAAATGGGACTATCCAAAACAATTTCTTGAAAGGGGATGTCGACAGAGATGCCCCCTCATTCCCACTCTTTTTAGCCCTCTTCATGGTGCAGGCAATCAGAGAAGACAAGGATATAACACTGGTATTAATAGTAGACAGACGATATAAGATATGTGCATATGCAGACGACATACTCGTGACATTTAGCTGTCCTAATGCAAGTTTGCCCAAATTATTATCTCTTTTTAAATAATTTGGTTCATATTCCAGCTATAAATTAAATCTGCATAAAACTCAAATGCTTTTTCAACTATGAACCCAAAACATTGTAACCCAGTACAATATTCTTTTAATGGGTTGTTTCATTGTATTTTGTATCTATAAGAGATAAAATTTGAATTAACCATTCATCTTGATATGTTATTTGTTCCTTTAGAACGCGCGTGCATGACATACAAGTTTGATTGATGTGTATATGTGGAAAACGTGGCTTTAACCATCAAGTTAGATGTTTGATTATTTTATTGGTTTATGTAAATCAAGTCCCACCCTGGTGTTTTAAGTAACGTGAGCGGTCGTTTTTTTTTTTTTTTTTTTTTTTTTGACAAGCGCGGGAATGGAGTTAGAGACACGTGGGCTACATGAGAGAGACGCACTTGCGGTAAGATAGTGATTTGCTAACGATATAACAGGTTTAAAATATCTTTAAATCGAATGTAGATCTGATGTGAAGGACTGACACAGAGGTGAATCGCTTTTGAGTGCTTGTTTTAGTGTTTTACGGTCAGTTTACCGAATCGGCCGTCTGGTCGGATACAGACAGACTGTGTGTTTAGTGTAACATTCACTGGATATCAGTGCCTCTGAACGTTAACGCTGTTACGTTCAGTAACGTTACAGAGAGAAGACAGTTATCGCTGTTATTTACATTCAATGTGGGATCATTGAGGACCAGAGATAGTAACCCCAGATACCCGAGTTATTTTGGGTTCCTCTGGCGACGTGTGAGGAGCGTTTTGTTCAGTCAACGAGCGCGCAATAGGACGAGGAACGGGAGGATCGCTGCATCGTTTCCAGTGGAATTGGAGGTATGTTTTGTGCTTAGTACAGTCAAGGGGCCATTTGTCAGTTTCTCGGTCACCACGATCATAAGCCTTCAGCCGTGAAATGAATGTAACAGGTTTTGCTCATGTATTTTGAGCACTTCTTGTGTTGTTATTGCCTCTTCACGATGACTTTTTTTGATTTAGTCCTCAAATGTATCCGCTTTGGATAAAAGCATCTGCTAAATGACTAAATGTAAATGATACTCGTTGACTCTTTGCGTAATGCTCATGCACATGTTCAGCTAACCAAGGCATCTGAATCCATTAGCTTATTTGGATAAGAATGCTGGATATCCCCCATTAAAGCCCACAGTGAGTGAGAAAAGTCTTTTAATTACTCTCCATCTTTCTGTTTTCTATCAAATAACTGTTTTTCAGACCAAGAATTTGTAAAGCAATCTCAGGCTTTTCCCTATCTGTCAAAGAGCGAAATCTAATTTCTGCTTTAGCTTCCCCCTCCAAATGGTCATAAAGGAAGAGGGCCTTCTCTCTATTATGCACCTGTCCCTAAGACATGCTTCAACATTCTCAATCCAATCATAAACCGATGGTTTGGTTTTGGAGCCAGAAAAATAAGCACACTTCCTCTCCCACTGAATATAAACAAACTTTTCAGGTGTTGCTTGACTTGAGGGACTTGGTGCAATATTAGAAACCTTACTGGCCTCTGGGGCACCGCTTGGCATCTCCTGGCAATCGCTCCTCTTTTTTTTTTATCCCCTACCAGCCACTGTTTCTATTTTAACAATCATACAATAAATAACAGTTAAGATTACATTAAGACTTTGTCGACTACACCAAAAATGTAAAAATGTGCAAGAGATATAAACTAACCACGCCACCTCCTTATTTAAGGCAGGAGGAGCCCTCTAAAGGTTTAAATACTGATTTTAGACAACAAATTAATAACATTCGCAGAAGTTGGAATTAGCTCTCCTCAAGACTGCAAGAGGGTCGACAGCAACACAGTTACCCAATCTCAGCTCTCAATCCCCAAACATGATTGATAAGTTACATTTATTCAGCATTCCAACACGGCCGTCAGTCCATTGAAGGTTCCACAGCAATAAATGTTTGTCTGCCTCGCTTTCCAGACAGAGAATAAAACCTCTTAAAATAATCAGCCTATATGAAAGGGTACATAGACAGCACGTTGAGTACAACAACCACACTACAGAACTGCAGAACAGCCATCTCCTGTTGCTGTTAGAATCCTTTATGCGGTCTTTATGTAGCATGATAGAACCAACCACTTGCACCTGAAACCTTGTCTCCTCCCACATTTACCCCAACTCAAAAGTTGGTAGCGATGCTTTAAGGCTATATTGGAAATAGTGCACCAGAAAATTGCATTTCCATGTTGCCTATTCAGTTAATAGATGGTTTTATTCAAAGCAACTTACAAATTAGGAATATCACAAGCAATTTGTTGAATCATTTCATTGGCTTTTGTGCTCCTGTGCTTTTCCCTTTCATATTGTTCTCTTCTTCAAGTGTTTAAAAAAATACTTTTTACATACTCGCTCTTTGTAGACTAGCAGTCTGTTTTCATGGAACATTCAACCATGATCTAATGTGATTTCTCCCTCTTATGTTGTTTTTCCCCCAATCAATACTTAAAGAATAAATCAACAATGACACCCACAAAACAGTAAAGAAAAAACAATAATAAAAATTAATTAATGGACATAAATATAAAACCTTCTTCCGACTAACTGAAATTATAATTAATTAATTGTATAAAATTACAAAATATGACACCAGTTAGCAACCTTCCCCAACAGACATTTATGAAAAATGCCCGTGCTTTGTGAAAACAGTTTTCATTTAAAATAGATATGACCTGGATTTCTATGCATACAGTATATTAACTCCATATATAGGGCATTTCAGAATGTTTGTAAACAATAGGCACCGCGATACTTCCGGGTGGCAGAACGCGAGCGGCTTCCATTGACTAACTGAAGAGATCCAGCCGGCAACTGAACAGTTACACAGTTAAAATCATTGTTGTTGATCAAAGTTGAATCTATGGCGAAAATATGTTGTGTTTGGGGTTGCGCCACCAGATATACAGCAAAAGGCGTAGGTTTTTTTTATCGATTTCCTTCAGAAAAAAGTAAATCTATCCAGCAGAACCTGTGGGTGAGGAGGTTAAAGCGAGTGGACGTCGTCAAAAGTGCATGTCGTCTTCTAATTATGCGCCTGAGCCCGATTTAAACCCAACCATTTTAATACGCGTGTCGTTATATAACTGACGTTCTCAACTAACTTAGTTATTTCTATTACTTTCTATGTTACTTTCTTTTGAGCGGTGAGTAAATGCTTCTGATTGGCTAATGCGTTCAATAATCAACACACGTCTGTGATTGGCTACATCGCTCATCGCTCCAGTCACGTTATAAAAAGAAACTCTGCCATGTAAGTCATTTCTATTTTGTTTTAGTTGTTCTTGTTGCTTTTCTGCAACAGATAAATACAAATGTATTAGTTTTTATTTGTTTTATTCATAGATATTTCTAGTTTGCGGGAGTCCCGCGAATCGTTTTATTCTCCTGCAATCCGCACACACAGAGTGCATTACCGCCCGCACTCGGCCATCAGATCTAGTCCCGCGCCGCGGTCTAGTGCGTTGGGAGTGCACGTCTCTAGATCAAAGAATCTAAGCTTTAATGATCATGTTAACTATGTCTGAATTTCCACCACGTCTGTTCTTGAATCAACTGTTGAAATGTAGATTAGGCTTCTGCCGGCGGTGTGTCTCCCGCCATGCAATTTACTAGTGTTGCCATAGGGACGCTTCGGCTTTTGCCACCCGGAAGAACGTCTATTATTGTTGTGACGTCATGGTGAATTGTCGTATAGATTGTAATTTTTTATTTGTAAACCAATTTTGCTCATGTATGATACTTTTATGAAAGTTTGAGATACTTTTATGTGGGTCTCTTTACGTCCTTCCAGATGTCTATTAGCTGCTGCGGGGATCCCAGGATTGTTGTAATGACCCTGAGAAAATCCTCTCGTTTATATTGTCCCAGATAGGCTCTGAACTGTGAAGGGTCTGGGGGGGATGAGGGTGCAAAACCCAAATGTTTCACACAAGCCCCCACATATGCGTCTTCTATGTTGAAGGGCTTTATTTCCTTGGAAGCCTCAACTATTTTTTCTGGCAGGTCATTGGAGAAAACATATCCCATTCCCAGCAGGTAAGTGGGGTAAATTGGTTCGGGGTACGACTCCTCTGACACGTACCATTTTGAGTTTGTGTCTCTAATGACAGGCCGGTTCCACATTACCATTCCAGTGATGTAGTTCTGTCTGGGTGTGTTGGGTGCCAATAGAAGAGTAACCAGGTTTTCCAGGTTTAAGTACATGTCCGAATCGACCTTCATACTGAAACTGGCTTGAGGGCAACGAGTGGCCAACCAGTCCATGATCACCATCGTCTTTATGGTCAGGTTGTAGTACGAGTCCACAAAGTTGCTCTGCAGTAAGTCTCTGTGTTGTCGGCTCTCTTCCTCCAGCTGCTGTTGAGCTTTTTCAGAGTCGGATCCTCCAGTCAAACCCACCAAGAAGAGAGTCATCACTGCGTTTCCTTGGACTGTGCTCTCATTCCCCCACGTGCTCCGGATGGCGTTTCGAGCTTCTACCTGATGGGGCGCCACGGGGACCATCAAGACCAGGAACGGACTCTGCTGACATTTATCAGGTTCATCCAGAATGTAATGATAGTTGCTTGGATGAGCTATATGATAACTAATTGTTGAACCTCTTTGTTGTATTTGCTGATTGGGCAAATGCACTAATGTATCTTTTTGATTATGATCAGCCCAAATGCTGTCAATTACCTTATAGTGAGTCTGATTCATGATTTTAGTAAACAATGTTTTAGGGAACGTAATTGTGTCCAAAGTGAAATCAGAGGCGTAAGCAACGGCAAGCAATAAGAATGTCAATGTAAGCAGCAGAAAAAATGCCGTTTTAAATTGATGAATACATGGACCTCTTTCCTGAGTCAAACTGCATAGAGAAAAACAAAAGAGAAACAGGTCAAAATTAGTCTCACAGTAAAACATCAGAATTTTTTTTAATTAAAATTAACGATTTATCACAAAAATAACTGTTGCAAATCTATGTTTACATGTTACATCTCTTGGTTATGATAGTGATTTAAGTTTCATGAATTTTAAGTTCACAGCTTTTGTCAGAAATGTTGACACGGACATCACTTAAAAGATAGCTTGCAGTAAGTTGCATTCTTTGACTGATTCAGAAAATTTGTTAATTGAATGATTCATCAGTTGGATTCAAATGGCATAAGGATTTCCAAATCACGGGCTGGAGGGGCGATAAAATACACAACCGCTACGTGCAAAACAATTCTGAACAATTCATTAAAGGAACTATCTTAGTCCGCTGTACATGAGCTGTATCGTTCAGGTTCGTTCCGACAAACAGGGCACTACATTTTCTTTTTTCTCAATATGTTTAACTTGAATAAAAGTTATCCAAACAAAAAGTTCTCCACGCATTATCCTGCAGGTAACGAGAAAGTGTAATTTATTGGCGCACTATGTCTGCGTATTGAGACATATAAAACTGTTGAGCTAGATTTTCAACCAGTCAGCGTCGAAAATGTAAGTAGGTAACAGCCAATATCTCTACGCACATGTAAACATGGAGAAGGACGTAAGCAGCACATCTTCATCTGATAGCGGCGATCAAGCTCGATTAACACCCGTAAAGTGTATTTTTCATGTCGGAAAAGATGGTGGGAAAGGTCCGTGGCCCTGTACTGAAGTTCGATAGCAACAAATCAAGCAATGTGCGAAGGAATGGCTCAAAACGTCGGACACTACGGAGCTAGCTACGTTATTGATCCCATGCTGCAGGTAAGTTACTTTCATAGCTAACATATCAATATTTTTTCATTATTTTTGGATGATGCTAATTTACAAACTTCCCGATCAGAATCCGTATATAAACATCGACACGATGAGAGACGTTGTCCTCCATTGCTTGATCTGTTATCTGGGTGGAAAAGAGGATGACCTCATCCAACAGTACAATGTAAGTGACTAGAATTAATCTATATATTTATGGTGTTTTGAGAAATGTATATGTGCATTGTTTTTATTTATAAAAATAGAAATGCAACTTAAACGATACACTTTTTTTCTAATTGAATTATAATTATTCTATTTATTTGACAGGGACAATGCAAACAAACATAATGTCAAGACCAAGCATGTCACTGAAGTGTTGCATATAAAGTTTATAGCTATTGCTAATTTTCAATTCCTGTCCCTGGAAGGGCTTTTATACACAATAAAATTTACATGATTAACTACTTCAATAATAATATTAAAAAATAATAATATAAACATACATACATATCATATACAACTCTTAAAATAATTAAAATTATTATTTTTTTTTTATTTTTTATCATAGAGACTGTTTAAATACTAATATCAGCTTACGAGGGAAACGGCGGCGTTAGTGGTATTTCGGAGGCTGTTACTGCTGGAGATGATTCGGGATAGATCTGTGCACCCCCTCCCAAGAAGAGAAATCTTGGAGATCACCTTAATAAACGGAGGTCTGAAATCTCTGCCCCTTTACCGATCAGAGTGCGCGCTGACACAGAGTAAATATACTTGTTTATACTCGACACCCCCACACGAGCGCGAAGGTGTGTGTGTGTGTGTGTGTGTGTGTCAAAAATGGCGCATTCGGTGCACAAGACCGGTGTTCTGACGATTCATGCTAACCATCGAGATTTGCTGTTTACTGGATCCATTTTTACTTTTCACACCATTTTAAAAATAAAAACAGTAGTATACAGTAGCTACTCATAACTTTGAATTTTATTATGATTGTATTTCATATAAAATTAATCGAAATTATCTGTGATCGATTCACGCTACGGTATCATTTTTCGACAAGGCAGCACAAATCGTCAGAACACTGGCAAGACCCTCTGTGTGCATGGCGCCACGTCCGAGAATGACCGACTTCAAAAGCCGGATCTTTCCGAGCATGTATGTCTCACCGCATGGCACCCAGTTTGCGCGTCTAAATTGCAAAGTTCATCGCAACGTTTTTTTTTTTTTTGGTTAAGGTTTTGTTTACTGTGTATGATTTATTCAATCGAAAGCACATTCACTTCTAGTTGTCTTGCTGTTAATATTGTTTCTGATGAAATAGAATGGTTAAGATTGTTTTTTAGACAGATGCTGCTGTCCCGAGAATTTTCTGATTCTGCTGTAGGACCCCCACACCTCTACAGTATGGGTGCACAGGAACAATCCATCATAAAACGCATAAAACTTTTGTTTAGAAAGACGTGAAACTCACGAGTGGTCACTGATATGCTCACACAAAAACACAGAACAACCACAGAAACTGAAAATTCTCGGGAGAGCAGCATCTGTCTAAAAAACAATCTTAACTATTCTATTTAATCAGAAACAATCTTAAAACGGGTTTAATTGTAAAATTATGAACTTGTATTAAATACAAAGTTAAATAAACGTAGAGCAAGTAGCTAATCAGGGTCTGCTCGATTATTCAAACTAAGTTGTTCTATAACAGACAAACGTCGCTCTGCATACGTCATCTCCATTGCTCTGATTGGTTTTTATGGAAGCAGATTAGTCTCAAATATAATTCACGCAAAAAACATGATTCACACATGCATAGACAATTTCACATGCATGAAACCTAATTCACATACACACCAAAAAAATTCACATGCATAAAAAAATACATATATATTCACAAAAAGCAATTCACATCCACAAAATAAAATTATATATTCATAAAATACATTTCACCAATGCAAAACTCAATTCAAAGACATACAACTGTGCCCAAAAACTTTGAATGTTCAAAATGTGAGTGTGTCCTTCACATACGAATCGCCTTGTGTGTGTGTGTGTGTGTGTGTGTGTGTGTGTGTGTGTGTGTGTTTTTGAGACTTTCCTGGCAGCGATTTACTCGTAACACAGAGCAGTTCTTATCTTTAGCGAATGAGTGATTGATTTAAGTTTATCAATCGACCAATCAGTATCACTTGAGGGCGGGCCATACCTGTCATAAGCTTTCGACCAGTTCGTGGCTGAGCAGAGGCAAGTGCATTTAAAGGGTTAGTTCACCCATTTAAGACATGAAGTTGTATGCAATCCTTACCAGCACTATAGTGCATACACACTGACCCACTCTGTTGTCACCCCCCCGGTCAGAGTTGTGACCGCTGGAAGTTTTTAAATGAAGTACTCCCGGCTATTTGAAAAAATGAAAAAATGATTTGCGTTTTAAAGCTTGATTAATTTACCACAAAAAAAAACACGCCGGTCAAAATTCATACCTCGGTTTTAATGCGGCACTATTTTCTATCCATTTCTATCAATCCGCGCTGCCGCAACGTCAACAGTGCGCACGTTACGATCAGCTGTTGATAGCGCACGACTCGCTGACAACATGTCTGACTGCGAAACTTATGATGATGAAACCAATTTTAGCACAATGTCAGACGGATCAGATGATGAAAGTGATTTTAGCACAACGACAGCCTACTCAAAGTTTGATATTTATATTTTATATATTATATTTTTATATTTTCATTGATATATTTTATCTATCGTATGTGTATTTTAGCATTTAAATTACATTTAAGTGTAAAAATGGCTTGCAATACAAACGCACATCCTAGGCGATTCGTACTTGAATGCTGATCTGCACATTCAAATTCAAGGACACACTCACATTTTGAACATTCAAAGGTTTTTGTGCACAGTTGTATATCTACAAATTGTGTTTTGCATTTGTGAAATGTATTACGAAAATATAAATAAATTTTGCGTATGTGAATTGCTTTTGTAAACATACATTTTATTCAAGCACGTGAATTTTTGTTCCCAACAGGGGGTTCTTGGCCCACAAGGGGGCCTCAGTGAGCTCTTTTCTTTTGTCCCAGAATCTATGGCAACATCTTCTCTGGTATTGTTCTCCTTATGGGGTTTGGTTTGTTGCCGTGAGTAACATAATACCTGCTCCTTTATCATGAGCCCTGTTATTGTCAGAATGAATGTGATACTTATGAAGTGAGGTGAAAAGTTGCTTTAAATCTTGAAGATGATTAAATGCACAGAATGGGTTAATAATTCCTTGCAAAATGTGCAATAAGAGACACTCCCAAAATACTAGGCAACAAGGTGTATTTCCAATTTATTTATGCCGATGATTAGAAACATTCATGAGCTTATTTGTGGTTTTTCTTTGTTCAATAGTGTAAACTGTCTTCTTAGAAATGAATGGGTAACATGTTGTAAAACCAGTATTTCTGTTTGCTATCAATGTACTGTTTTTATAGCACGCCCGCCATCTGACTGGTGTTGGTGCTGTAAATGAATTATGTTTGGTAAAATAATGAGACAGACAAAGTTGTGCTGTTACCATAAGCACGCTCCCCTCTGCGCTTAAGTCTGACACGAGGGACTACCAGCAGAGCCTGGTCGTGGGATCTTAGGCTTCTGGATGGAGTATAGGGATGAATAAGTTCGGAGAGATAGGCTGGGGCTAGGCTATGTAGCGATTTGAAGATAAATAGTAGGACTTTAAAATCAATTCTCTGCCGGACAGGTAGCCAGTGTAAAGACTCAAGAATTGGAGTGATGTGGTCATATTTGCGAGAGTTGGAAATAAGTCTAGCCGCAGCGTTTTGGACCAGCTGAAGACGGGCAATTTGAGAAGCAGATATCCCACAATAGAGTGAGTTGCAATAGTCGAGCCTACACGTGATGAAAGCATGAACTGCCATTTCCAGGGTTGTCGGAGTAAGAAAGCCTTTGATTTTAGATAATAGACGTAGTTGGTAGAAACCGGAGCTGACGACGCCTGATATGTGTTTGTCAAGTTTTAACGAATGGTCAATAAGAACACCCAAATTTCGCACTTCTGTCGATTTAAAGGGGGCTAAGCTCCCCAAGTCTGGGCTTAAGCACTGGGACCTTTCACTCGGGCTGAAGACAATGACCTCGGTCTTATCACTATTTAAGGAGAGGAAGTTTTGGGCCAGCCATGCCTTCACTTCCTCTAGGCATAGTAGAAGACAGTTTAATGCTGCAGGGTTATTTTTCTTGAATGGAATGTAGATTTGGGTGTCGTCCGCATACAGATGAAATGATACACTGTGTTTCCTTAAAATAGTGCCCAACGGAAGCATGTACAGAGAAAATAGAGAGGGAGCCAGAACAGAGCCCTGTGGAAGACCACAGGTTAGAGGGGCCGTGGAGCTGGAGAAGTTGCCCATCTTAACTAAAAACTTTCTGTCGGAAAGGTACGACCGAAACCATGATAAGACAGAAGATTTTAGTCCCACCTCAGTCTCAAGTCTAGCCAACAGGGTAGGGTGGTCAACGGTGTCAAAAGCTGCCGAAAGGTCTAAGAGAATTAGAACCACAGAATCAGTGGAGATTAAGATGTCGTTTAGCACTCGCAGAAGGGCAGACTCAGTGCTGTGAGCAGCCCTGAACCCAGATTGAAAAGTATCATAAGTACAGTTATTTAGAAGAAAGTGCTGGAGTTGATTAAACACTATTTTCTCCATTACCTTGGAAATAAAAGGCAAGACCGAGATGGGTCGGTAATTTTGTAGAACAGATGGATCCAGTGAAGGCTTCTTGAGCAAGGGAGTGACCGTAGCCACTTTGAGATTAATTGGAACTGAGCCCGTATTGAGGCACTTGTTAATAAAGGATACCAGACCAGGACCCACAGAGTCGATTATTAACTTTAAAAATTTCGGCTGAAGGATGTCATTTGGACAAAATGAAGGTTTGAGCTTGGCGCTAATCAGATAAAGTAAAGTTACTTATCCAAGTTACTCTGTGTTACTGCCTGTGTTTTTTTTTTTTTTTTTTTTTTTTTTTTAGATTGAGTAAATAATCGGTTCCTAACGGGGGTCTTGGCCCACAAGGGAGCTCTTCAATGAGCCCTATGCCAATGGGGGTTGCGCCATATTTATTAAAGCAGCAGCAAAATTTACTAAATTTCTATAATGAGGGAGTACATGATGTATCCATTTTCCAAACCGTGTTTTTGTCTTATCCTGAGTCACTATGGAAATATAAAAAGTGTTTATATTGGCTTTATTTTACACTGGTTCGGGTTGTACAGAGAAGTAGCTCCGGCTTCAATTTTCTTCTGCAAGACTAATTATTCTGTTAATAAGCATGAAAAAAGTTCAATATTATCTAATAATATGCTTATAAATGCAAAAACAAATTTGGGAACCACTGTCTTAGATGATACATGTTTTTGATTTCTAAATTAAAATTCATGATATCAAGCTAATTTTTAAATGTAAAATGTATTCATTTTATATGATCACATATCACATTTGTGTTTCCTTTTTCTTTCACATATTGAAAGACACTGAACAAAAGAAAGTGTAATTATATAACCTATATGGGTAACACTTTACAATAAGGTTCATTAGTTAATGTATTAAATAACATGAACTAACCATGAGCAATACTTTTGTTACAGTATTTATTTATCTTTGTTAATATTAGTTAATAAAAATACAGCTGTTCATTGTTTGTTCATTTTAGTTCAGAGTGCATTAACTAATGTTAACAATTACAACCTTTGATTTTAATAACGTATTAGTAAATTCAAAATAATATTAACGAAGATTAATAAATGCTGAAGAAGTATTGTTCATGCCAACTAAGGTAGTTAATTAATGTTAACATTATTGTAAAGTGTTACCGCCTATATATACACTCACATACATCTGAACTCCTCCATTGAATCATTTCAGATATACAGAATTCAATGTTTAGCTAAGCTGCAGTCAAATTATTTTGAATATTTTATTGAAAGCACATCAAATTGTAAGTTACTCTAGTTGAGAGATCTACAACTCTGCTCCTGGGCACCCACTGTCCGGTAGTTTAGAGTATTTTCAAACCTAATCAAAACCTGAAGCAGATAATGAAGCTCTCCAGGATTGCTTGAAAATACACAGGCAGGTGTGTTGAAGCAGGTTGGAAATAAACTTTAAAGGACAGTGAGTCGCCAGGAGCAGAGTTAAAGACCTCTGTCATATAGTTTAAAAGATGTTGTATGTTAACAACACAAATAACATTATAAAATATCTAATAGTAAATCAAATAATAAAAGGATGGGTAAGCTTACCTGTGCCAAATGTTTTTAATAGCCATTTTAGTGTGTTCAACTTGTAACCCTACTACTTCACGTATTCCTTCCTGAATAGTCTAGACTGAATAACCAGGAAGCATTTCTTTCCTCTTGCACCTATGAACAATCCCACAGCTGAAACTTGTCCATCTTCAATGATAATACTCATTTTTTTAAATGCAATCATAGACTGATAGACACACATACATATTTATATATATATATATATATATATATATATATGAAGAGTTCAGATGCAAAAGCCTCTAAGTGTCATTTGAAATTTTCTTCTAGAATGATCATTTTTATCAAGCTGATATTTAAGTTCAGTAATTTCACTTAAATGGCAATTCATAGGTAATCTTCATTGTCATTTAAGTGAAATTACTGAACTTGAATATATAAGCTTGATAAAAATGATCATTTTAGAAGAAAATTTCAAATGGCACTTAGAGGCTTTTGCATCTGAACTCTTCATATATATATATATATATATATATATATATATATATATAAAGTGAGAGAGAGAGAGAGAGAGAAGTTACACACTCCCAGAATCTATGGTAACATCTTCTCTGGTATTGTTCTCCTTATGGGGTTTGGTTTGTTGCCGTGAGTAACATAATACCTGCTCCTTTATCATGAGCCCTGTTATTGTCAGAATGAATTCGATTCTTATGAAGTGAGGTGAAAAGTTGCTTTAAACGTTGAAGAGGATTAAATGCACAGAATGGGATAATACTTCATTGCAAAATGTGCTATAAGAGACTCCTAAATTACTAGGGAACAAGGTGTATATCCAATTTGTTTGCTCTGATGATTAGAAACATTCATGAGCTTATTTGTGGTTTTTCTTTGTTCAATAGGCTAAACTGTCTTCTTACAAATGGATGAGTTACAGACATGTTGTGAAACCAGTATTTCAGGTTTTTTTTTTTACTTATTAATTTCTTTTTTCTTTTTTTTTCCCTTTTTTTACTGCACATAATATAAAATCCAGAGTGTAACAAACAAAACATACAGTATACAATGAATATTTGATATTGAGAAAAGATATACATATACAGAGTGCGTATCACACATACAACATGAAACAAAGGAGAACAATAATTGAAAAAATAGAACAAAACAAGAAAAAAAAAGAAACAAAAGGGGGGGGGGGGACTATACAAACTATATTTTTTGTATAGTTTACCATGTGTGTGTGTGTGTGCGTGTTTGAATGAGTGTTTTGTGTTTGAATGTTAAAATCAGCAGGATTGGTTTGCCTCACTGTAATCGAATCGAAATGATCGTTTGAGTTGGGTCAGGCTCAACAGCTTTTTCTTCTGGCTGCTTCATTCCACACCAGGGCTAAGGAGCATATTTAGTCCTAGGAGATAGAGGGGAGTGAGTTGCCTCTTCAGAGCCCTTCACCACCACCACCCTCCCCCATCCCCGCCCTTAGTCACTGTTCTACCGACGGGCCAGCCCATCCACCTTAGTAATACTAACATTACTTAGTAATTTCTAACATTAATCTCTGAACAGACATTTACATGGATAGTCTGCCGTTATAATTCATTTGTTTTGGTGTACTGTGGAGTGGGTAAACCTGTTTTTTATGATAAATAACACCTAGGTTAACTTGGAAATAAGGTCCAATGCGGGAACAAACTAGGCATGAACCTTCATGATTCACTTCTTTCCTACTCAACCAGACGGCCCACTGCACCCCTGTCACACCCTGAGATCAGCAGAATTTAATCTTCAGGGACAATCTCAAGGCATCAGATGTCACACAAACTACAATAACTCATGCAGAATTACACAAGGCTTTCAGGGGATCAATGATTTTGGGGCGGGGAAGGTGTGTGTGTGTGTGTGTTTGGAATGATCTTCACAGAAAGTTCATGAAAAAAAGAAAAGGGTTTGGGTGAAGTCATGGAGACGCCGGGTACATGGTCTACAGAGCGAGCTACAGGTGAGCAATGGTCACAAAATCACACAGCTTATGTTTTTTATAATTGTTGTTCTCAGGTCTCTATTGGAAAATAAATGTTCTGCGCCATGACTGCATTTGTTACACTATGTCTTCCAACATCTCACTTTCTGATTGGATATTGTTTTGTTTCACTTGATAATCTCCAGAGCGTGCATGCTCGGGGTTCCTCCCACACATCAGGAACTGATTCGCGATTGGGACGGCTCCGACGTTCTTCAGAGCAGGTTCGGACACTCTTAACACACCTCACACCAAGGGAGAAACTGATAAGATAATCCGAAGAACCATCAAGATAATCTGGACATAACTAGGATTGTTGGAAGGGGGGAAATCGGCCCAAAATCAGCCCAATTTATCTTTTGGTGTACCCAGCATAAGCAGTCACGCCTGGTTCCTGTTTCATCACCCTCAGCTGTTCCCACTCACCTTGTAAGTGTCTGTCTATAGACGCTTTCAGCAGTGACGACATGTGCGTTAATCTGGCCCAAACTTAACTTCCGGCAGACTTGCGCAGACAATCCATAACAAGTAAATAACCTAGTAGCTGATCTTGCCAGTCAAAGAAAATATATGTTACCTGGCCAAACTGAAATGTGACACTACCAGACCCGTTGAACAAAAATTGGAGACAATTGTTTTTCTACCAATGTGTCTGATTTACCTCAGTGTTAAAAAAACTGGCGAGCGCGACGGCGGGGTTTGAAAAGGTTAACATAGCTCTCCTTATTAGCTAGGCTTTTTATATGCTTGCTAACCTTCTTTTAAGGTGGGTCTCCACATTGACAGCATGTTGGATGGATCTGTGCAGCGCTGTTTATGATACTAACCATTCAATACACAGACTGGTCCGCTGTCAATGTGTTTGCGAGAGAGAGAGAGAGCGTGCGAATATACGCTGCACGCAACTCTGCAGTCAATTACAACTTTTCCCATCTTAAATCGTTAAACACGGAAATCAATATGTGGCGGTCAGCGCTGATAATGTGGTGGGCTGCCACTAATAAATGTATGGGAAACACTGCACCGGTTATCACTCAGATAAACATAGCTAGGCTATTTTAATACCGCCGTCTCCCTCATAGGAAACCTTGACATTTTTATTTTTAAAAATTGCGTTTGCTCCCTTGGTCAGGTTGCACCCCACAGCTCAACAACCTGCTCATCACCTTAACTTTTACTGCATTTGTAGTCAATGCCATATTATGCAGTAAACACTAATAAACGAACACAACGGAAGTTAACTTTGGGCCAGCTCATCACCATGGCAACGCGTCTGATGAAAGCATCTATATGCTCTGTCTGTTTAATCACTCACTTACTTTTGTTCTTCCTTGTCTGAATTGTTTGTACTGGGCCCACAACATTCTAGTTTTGAATAGATGAACAAACAGTAGAGTCACGTTGCATGGACTTAAGAAGACAGCAATGAAAGAGACACAACACACCCTAACACCAGTATTACTAGTTACCAATTACCTCTTCAACAGTGTAATTAGATTACTGTACTAATTGCTCTCTCTAAAAGTGTTTAATTACTTTTAATTGCTAATTACTTTCAAAATCCCTTTTCAATCTTAACCAGCTGAATAATACAAGGATAGACATGAATCTGTTTTAATTCTTTCAAATAAATACTATAAAATTGCATGAATTATCCTTAAACTGACCAAGGTGGAGAAGGTTACATTATTAAAACATACTTTTTAACATCAGATACATTTTGATGTTAAACCCACTATTGTTTTATGTCTGATCTCATGACATTTCACACTTTTTTTCATACATATTTTATAATAATTCATATACGAATTTGTACGTGTGCGGTCGTACGATTTAGACACCTCATAAAATGCATATGAATCGCTGTGAGATCGGATTGATCTATACACGGTATTTACCTCAATTACATCAGAAGTAACTGTAATTAAATTATAGATAAATGAAGAGCAATCCCTTACTTTACATTTTCAAGGGAAAAGTAATTGAAGGTGCCCTCTGTAAAAATCGAGGTTAAAACATCCCAAAAATGAGCTACACGCATCAAAAGAATGAGAAGAAATAAGGTTGATGATGTCATTAAAAAAATGACAAGGTATATTTCTGCTGAGATATTAACCTGAATTGACCTTATGCACAGCTGCACTACTTCCTGGACTTAAGCCAGCTCCTTGTTTCCTGTCTGCCATTATTGGACAAATTGATTATTCCAGGTGTGTCTGACCTCAGTAGTCACAGCAACAATAATCAGACACACCTGAATTAATCAATTTAGCCAATAATGGCAGAAATGAAACAAGGAGCTGGTTTAAGTTCAGCTGTGCATAAAGCCAATTAGCATGCTAAATTACTAGCCCTGGCCCGGTAGGTGTCATAATACCAGTTTCGGCCATGGGAGGCGGTATGCGGGCGAACAACATAACCACCAGCCAAACTGCAATAGACGAGTAACTCGCGCGGCTTGTGTTTACTTGAACCTGATGTCAGTCGTGTAGAAAATACAGCTCACTACTACATTTCAGTTCAGGAAAGAGTTCAAAAAATGATTGGTCGATATTATGCATGAGGAATACATTTTGGTAAGTTGTAACATACTGTATCTTTCAACAGTGTTCGTGTCCTTTTACCATTAGCTAGTAGAGATGATCGGTTCACGTGCGTAAGGGATCTGTCGTGTAACATTTACAAGCGCCAAAACCGTATTTATTGTTTGAATTGCGTAATAAAATTAACAGAATCTGAGAGCTGAGATCGGTCTCCGTGTCCTTTTCTGTGCGTGACATAATTGATGTGTGGCGTGAGAGTGTGTGAAAAGTGTCAATTGCGTGTGTCTCACGGTGAATTTGTGAGAGTTGGCAGCTCTGAAAGGCGCTAGCTTGGTCCACATCAGGGAATGCTGTCTGTCAAATTAATTCAAACTAATGATAAAAATGTAATATAAACAAAACGAATACCATAAAACTAGAAATAATAGCCTGGGCTTTAATTTTCCCATATCGTCGAAATGCACCGATTTGTCTATGAGACGGGCCTTTATAATTTAGTATTGAGATGTTGTTAATTTAGTCTCCAATCTCTAAAAATCTCCAAATGCTCCACGTGAATCTGCGGTCTTCCAACCTTTTACTATCGTGTCAATTGATTTGATTAATATGCGCGAGGGAGACAGAGCAACACAGCGCTCGCCCATGTTTTTTGAAGACACGAGAGTGCACGCGGTATTTCTGGAGGTATACTGCCTCCATCTAGTATGGAATATGGTGTATGATTTGATTTTTTTTTTTTTTATGCCAGAGGGCACCTTTAAATTACAGTAACTAACTACTTAGGCAGTGTTGGGTGTAACTAATAACTACTAACACAGATTCTGCCAATTTCTTAAAATTGTCATTCATTATCTATTAGGATGAAGGAACCTGTTGAACTGGTGACACACACACACCTTTACACCATTATTTTAGTTTTGTGATGGAACCAGTGAGAAAGAAGTCGCCTCCCCCCCCCCCCCCCCCCCCCCAGTAACAGTTTATCTGTTACATTTAGTACTGCTGCTATTATTTCACCATCTACGTGGGGTTAAGAGTATAATTTTCTACCCACATGTCTAGCACAATTATGTGGTTTTCTTTTTTTAATACAGTGTATACTTTTTTTCTTGATTTACCCTGAAAGAATGGAAGTGAAATGTGACATGCCCCATAGGTGGGGTACATTGTAACATCACAATATGACAGCTTAAAATGCGATCTCAATGCTAATCAAAAACATATACAATTCTAACCAAAATATTTTCTTAATAAAATACAAATATTAACTTTTTCATATACAATGATGGCATTTTTTAATAATTAAAAATAAACAAATTTTTCAGTTTGACGACAAATCCACCAGAAAACACAGATATACAGCATAGTGCAAAACAAAATAATAATTAATAATTTCTGAACATTGATTCTCAGTCTTTATTTACACGTTTCTCATGTTTTCTCAATAGAATTCAGAAAAGTATATAATGTAATAGCATATTTCTAGGGGCACAATGCAACAGTGTTACAACATGCCCCAACTGCACAACTGGGGTTTAAACCCTGCTAGTTTGCGAAGCATTAAAGAACTATATCAACTGTTAAACAACAGTTTGGAGATTAAAATAATATCAGATTTGTCTAATTTTAAATAAACACAAAAAAAAAAAATAGAGATGAAAAATTAACCTAAGTAAGAAATGTACTTTTGCTATGGTTAAACAAGTGTTCAGTAATATCTTAAAAAGATTTCAGAATTTCGGCTGTTGAAATGGCAACTAGTAAATACACCAAGTTTTGTCATGCCAGCATGTGTGGAAGTATTTAAAACAAACGTGTTACAACTAGCCCTGCGTTACTTTGTGCCCTGCGCTCCCCTACACATGTAGTGAATGTGCCGGTTGTTGTGGCTATATGTGCCAGTGCTGAATTTTTGTCCCAATCCACTAATACGTAGTATTTCAATATTGTTGTGTTTTGATTTAGAATTTACATTTTTTTAAGAACAAAGACCATCTTTTAATGATGGTTAGGGGAGAGCAGGGCACAATAACGCGGGCTACACACTTGTAACACACTTGTTTTAAATATACGAAACTTAGTGTATTTACTAGTTGCCATATCTGTATATATAATAAATTGTGCCAAAATTCAAGATATCACTTATATAAATTCATGTTTTTACAGTTTAGTGCCATGGACTTTTATTGTAATCTTCAATATGTTCTTCGTGCCTGACAACTGTGAGGGGGGTGAAATTTTTTTCTAACTCGTTAGTTTAGATCGTATTTATATATAAAATGTATGATAAATACAGGCGGTTAACTTTGATTGACGGCTGATAACGGGCTGCGCCTAGTGGAATTTGATGTCTCGGCCATGATCTGACAACACATCATACCACCTCTGTATCCTTTCTGAACATTTCTATATTGTATTTCCCAAGATTTTACAGTATGGTGCCGCCCATACCCCCCAGAAACAGCCTCAAAGCCGTTCTTCACAAAGTCTATGGGTGACGTAACAGACGCTTTGTCCATATGTTTTTTTTTTTTTTTACAGTCTATGGTTACAACTGAGAATGGTCTGGTTTTAACCAGGCTAACATACTTGTACTAGACATGTGAAATTAATGTGGGGGGAAATAAATACTCTAAACCCTAAGTAGATTTACACAAATTGAGAAAGTCAAAAAGCATTAGGCTACGTTGTGCCCTGCTCTACCCTAAGCCTATTCACTCATCATGCCCTCAAACCTGAAACTCACATTAAACGTCCAACAGCATGCAAAATAGGTTTCAGGTAACAGGGTGAAACCAGTTTTTATGAAAACAGAACCAGAGTAATCAAATTTTACCACAATGTAATTATAGGCAGCCATAAAGGAGGCGGAAGAAAAACATATTGAGCACATGGCCTAAAGCAGATTGAGGTAAAAAAAAAAAAAATCCCTCAAACAATTGTTCAACTGTTTAAAGGAACCAGATACATTTACGAGCCTTGTTATCAAAAACAGGAACAGGACGCATGTGTTATACCAGGATATAGTCATTTTGTTCTCTGAGTTGGTATGTAATTGACTTTATGCACAACTGCACTACTCCCTGAACTTAAGCCAGCTCCTTGTTTCCTGTCTGTCATTATTGGACAAATTGATAAATCCAGGTGATTAATCCAGCTCAGTAGTCATGGCAACAATAATCAGACACACCTGAATTAATCAAGTTCGGCCAATAATGGCGGACAGGAAACAAGGAGCTGGCTTAAGTTCAGTAAGTAGTGCAGCTGTGCATAAGGTCAATTGTGTGGTTAGGGATAATTAGCGATCAGAGAAGTAAACACTTTCTTCAACCCTTTCAAGATTATGTTGGCATTAAAAACCTAGTTACACTGAATGTTTTTAGCCACTGTTTAGAGAACGAAATGCTGCAAAAAAAAAAAAAACTCTCGTAAATTACCATCACATTTCTTTCCCGTTACTAATGATAGTCCTGTATCGACAGTACAGCTGTGATGCCGCCCTCTAGTGGCTCAATCTGCTCTTAAAGTGATGGCAGCTCATTGAGACCATTGAGACATTAGCTGTGTCCCAATGCGAAGGCTGCATCCTCCGAAGGCCGTATTTGAAGGTTGATTGCGTCACAGTGGCGCGACGAAGGCTGTCTCAATTAAAAAATTGTCCCAATGTGAAGGCTGCATCCTTTGAAGGCTGTGGACTGTGAAGGATGCAGCCTATTCCCATCCTAACCTAACACTAAACTCATGACCTGTGTTGTCAAAACGCTGGCAGAACGGAGGTGGGAGGGAACGAAGCTCATTATCATTTTGCAATGTTTTCATTTAGACCCTAAAGATTCATATTAAATTGTACAAAAATGGCATTATATGACCCCTTTAAATAACCTCATATTAAAATTATATGCATGTGCATCAGTATGTAAATAAGTATGTTTGATTGTTTAAAGATTTATTTTGTTTGTATATACTAAAACTGTGTTGTTGTTGTTTTTTTGTTTTGTTTTTTGTTCGTCGCCTCAGGGCAACATTGTGCAGTTGCCCCACATCTGGGCAGTGTCCTGGCAAAGTCCTTGCATCATGTTTTTTTTTTTTTTGTATTCGTCATTCAGTGTCTCTGATTTGTCATAACACCTCTTAAAATGCATGCGAACAATGCAGAAAAATTAACCTGATGTCTGCACACTGTGTCTGAAATTCTCATCCAAAATGTTTGCACAATAAAAAATAAATAGCCTACGTCAATTACGTTTACACACCTAACTCCGAAACTTCTTTGTCCATCATAAAAATTAGGATCGGGTTCAATTGTCTGCGTATTTTGCATCCGTAGCAAGTATTTTGAATGGTGTTTTGACAATTCAGAGCCACCGTACAAACAAACGCCAAAATCCAGAACTGTTCTGGATCAATTGGTTCACGGAAATTGGTGGCAAGATAAAATTGTTTGTGGATACGGCCCCTTTTATGTAAATTTATACAAAAATACCTTGACATTGCAACACGTAATGACTTGAATTCACCACTTTAAATTGTGCATGTTTATAATTTGTAAATAAAATTTATCAAGACAAAAATGTCAGTGGGATATTTTTTACAACACTTTGCCAGAACTCTATTATCTGCTTCGGTGACCTCGCAATTGTTGTAATGACCTTGGAAAGGTTGTGAGTTTTAGAATCCTTCATAAAAGTCCGAAACTGAGAAGGATCTGGTGCACGTGAGGGTTTAATGCCCAACCATTTTAGACAAGTGCCTACATATGCGTCCTCTATGTTAAAGGGCTTAACGTCCTTTGAAGCCTCAACTATTTTTTTGGGAAGGTCATTGGAGAAAACATATCCTACTCCCAGCACATATGTGGGGTATTTCGTTTCGGGGTATAGCTCCTCTGTGACGTAATATTTAGATTTTTTGTTTCTAATGACATGCTGGTTCAACATCAAAAAACCAGTGATGTAGTTCTGTCGGGGGGTGTTGGGTGCCAATAGAAGAGTCATCAAGTTTTCCATGTTTAAGTACATGTCAGAATCGACCTTCATACTGAAATTGGCTTGAGGGCAACGAGTGGCCAACCAGTCCATGATCACCATCGTCTTTATGGTCAGGTTGAAGTACGAGTCCACAAAGTTGCTCTGCAGTAAGTCTCTGTGTTGTCGGCTCTCTTCCTCCAGCTGCTGTTGAACTTTTTCAGAGTCGGATCCTCCAGTCAAACCCACCAAGAAGAGAGTCATCACTGCGTTTCCTTGGACTGTGCTCTCATTCCCCCATGTGCTCCGGATGGCGTTTCGAGCTTCTACCTGATGGGGCGCCACAGGGACCATCAAGACCAGGAACGGACTCTGCTGACATTTATCAGGTTCATCCAGAATGTAATGATAGTTGCTTGGATGAGCGATATGATAATGCACTGAAATGGGTTTGGTGCTAATGGATGCAGTGGGTTTGTTCAGAGCTGTAGGTGTTTGCTTGATTTTCCAGAAAAAAAGTTTGCCAGACAAGCCCTCAGTATAGGCCATTTTGTGATGGTGTGTAACTTGCTTGAGAGAGAAATAGATATAAGCCATAGTAGACAATGATAATGTAATAGTGAGCATCAGAATGAATCTTGTTGGACACATTAAAGCTTTATCTGGAGTCAAACCGCATCTGAAGAAGGAGAAAGAGAAACATTAAAATATTCAATGATCTCAATGATTAGTTTTTGCCACAATCAATCCTAATTATATCAAAAGATTGAGTTGCACTACATTTATTTTGTCCATGCTACTCAGCGAAACCTGAGTAAGTTTAAGTGCCAGACACGCACTGCCAGTGACAATAACACAATTATACCATAATTTGATCATAAAAGATCGCACTGTTTGTTGTTGGTATTAATATCAAACACATACAAATTACCATTTGTCTGTGCCGTTTTTGTGTGTATTTGACATGCAAATATGTTATGAAGCCGATCCATCTCATGAATAGCTGTACAAAAGTGACCGTGCCTAACTTTCAAAGATAGATCTGTTTGCCTCTCACGACTCGACCCATTGCGCCCTGTATTATTCATGGATGGATGCATTGGCACACAGCTGGCCATGGGGCCGCAAATATATGCAAAGTCAGGGAGGACATGGAGAAGGCCTGATTCTCCGAACTTGTGCTTCTTGTGAATGCACCTCCCTGACCAATTCCTCTGAGGAAGGACCTCTTTTCTCAGGGACGGGGCACCCTTTGAGTGCCCTTGAGGCAGGTTTGAGTACCCTACCACCAGTGGTGGTGGCTACTATCACTTCCGCTAGAGCGTTGTCCACATGACATGCCTACGCGTTGAAGTGGAACCTCTTCGGAGCGAAGCCTGTCTCCCTCCACCCTCAAAGCACACGTTGCTGCTATTGCCGCACACCATGATACAGTGGAAGGTAAGTCTGTAGGGAAGCACTACATGATCGTCCGGTTCCTGAGAGGAGTGAGGAGACTGAATACTCCTCACCCTCCTCTTCTTCCCTCATGGGACCTCTCAGTGGCTCTAACTGCCTTGCAGAGTGCTCCCTTTGAGCCTTTGCAATTAGTGGTGTGAAGTTCCTGTCTATGAAGACAGCACTCCTGGTTGCATTGGCCTCCATCAAGAGGGGAGGGGACCTGCACGCATTCTCCATTGACGAAGCGTGCCTGGAAATCGGGCCGGCCTGGATATGTGCCCATGGTTCCTACCACTCCCTTCCGGGCAAGTTGGTGAACCTGCAAGTGCTGCCCCTGGAGGAGACAGACCCAGCCTTAGCACTGCTCTGTCCAGTAAATGCACCTATGTAGACAGAACAGTGTTTCAGGACCTCAGACTATTCTGTTATGGTGGGAAGCTGAAGGGAAAGGCACTTTCCAAGCAGAGGCTGTCTCACTGGATAGTGGACGCCATTGCTTTGGCATACCAGCAGCAAGGTCGACTGTGCCCCCTTGGTGTGACTGCCCACTCCACCCGGAATGTGGCATCCTCTTGGGCTCTAGCGCATGGCGCCTTGCAAACAGACATCTGCAGAGCTGCAGGCTGGGCGCTACCCAACACATTTGCCAGGTTCTACAATTTCCAAGTGGAGCCAGCTAGTAGCGGACCCGCTCAGGTGTCTTTGCTTGCTCGCCATTCCACTCCACGGACTGAATATGTACAATATTTTCCTCAGGAGAGCTTCTCCGAAAGCCCTGAGTTCCTCCAGCACTGCTGACGTTGACGTCAATGTCTATTGCCTGCGTGTTGGTTAGGTGCCTCCCGTCTAAATAGGAATCCTTCGTTCGTGCTAGCAGGGCACACAGCTGGAAGACAGCTGTGAAGGTGGCGTGATTAGACTGGTAACCCCATTCGTCATCATCCGAAGGAACTCGGAGTGACAACGAAAGGGAATGAGGTTTACATCCGTAACTGAGACATTCCATTTTGTTGTCTTCCTGCCAATTTCCGCTATACCGCGGGGATTGCCTGAGTTCAATCTCGGCTCCTCAGCGAAGAAACATATCTGCATTGCCGGCGTCCTCCTTTATATCCACGAGGTAAGGTGGAGATATGCTATGCAAATTCCGCAGACCCATGGCATCTTCTTTGCCATTGGCTCCTTTTCTATACTCGAAGTATAGAAATAGGCTTCCTAAGATAAACCCCATTCGCCATCATACAATGTGATGTCTCTGTTCCCTACTCGGGGAACGAGGTTTACATTTGTAACCGAGATGTTCATCTTTACCTTCATGCACTTTGGTCAGTAGTGCATAGTTTGTATGGACTCAGCCACTGTTTGTTTCCACTTGTTGTTAACTATGACTAAAACTATTTTTTTTAAAAATGTGATCGAAAAGTTGAGATAAAGTTAAAATATTACACATTTTAACATACACACACACACACACACACACACAAAAAACAGAAACTAAAAAACATGACAGAAGCACACAATTAACTTAAGATGACAGAAGCACGCAATTAACTTAAAGGGTTAGTTCACCCCAAAATGAAAATTCTGTCAGTATTTACTCACCCTCATGTTGTTCCAACCCCATAAGACCTTCGTTCATCTTCGGAACACAAATTAAGATATTTAAGATATTAAGATCGCTCCTGCATACAGTCCATAGGCTTCTTGAGGGACTGGCTCTTGCTGTCCTCGAAAAGTCATTAAAGACATCGTTAAAATAGTCCAAGTGACTACAGGGGCTCAATCTTAAGTTTATCAAACGACGAGAACACTTTTGTGCGCAAAAAAACAACAAAAATAACGACTTTATTTCAACTATTCACTTCCTTCTCCATGAGCCTGTAAGTCAGTTAACGTAGTGTGATTGCGTAAAGCTACGTCACACGAAGGCTCACTATTGGCCGACGCTGGTCATGTGTGTGTGATGCGTGTGACGTACAATAACAGAAGCTTACGCCAGTGTTTCCCAACCCTGTTCCTGGCGGCACACCAACACTGCGTGTTTTCTTTGTCTCCCTAATCAAACACACCCGATTCAACCCATCAACTCATTAACCCACCTGATTATGAGCTGATGGGTTGAATCAGGTGTGTTTGATAAGGGAGACAAAGAATACACGCAGTGTTGGTGTGCCGCCAGGAACAGGGTTGGGAAACACTGGCTTACGCTATTAAACTAGTAACCTGACTGAAAACCTGAAATAAACGAATAGTTGAAATAAAGTCGTTATTTTTGTTGTTTTTTTGCGCACAAAAGTGTTCTCGTCGTTTGATAAACTTAAGATTGAGCCCCTGTAGTCACTTGGACTATTTTAACGATGTCTTTAATGACTTTTCGAGGACAGCAAGAGCCAGTCCCTCAAGAAGCCTATGGACTGTATGCAGGAGCGATCTTAATATCTTAAATATCTTAATTTGTGTTCCGAAGATGAACGAAGGTCTTACGGGGTTGAAACAACATGAGGGTGAGTAAATACTGACAGAATTTTCATTTTGGGGTGAACTAACCCTTTAAGGGAATTTTAAATCTTATTTAAAAAGTTAATAAAGACTATAATCCTAGGTCCGTGTAACGCTTCTCAATTCAATTTTCAGACCATATAACGCAAATGCAAAAATGGAAACCAGAAATTCAATTTTTTTGTTTTACCAATTACATTATCAACGAATAGTTGCCTTTTCCTCCCTTTTTTTCAATTTTACTTGTGCTAAATTGTGACTTCAGAAACAAACATTTGAATAAATGAAATCTAACGATTTTTCAATTTTCGTCTTGTAATTTGCACCGTGGGCAGTACCATTAGCACAGGGGTGTGGCCGTGGACTAACTTTACTGTCATTTCATTGATGCAACTTACACTGTCACTCATTAAAAACGTCAATATTCACTTCAATAAAAACTTTCACTTTGGGTGAAAAATCTCGTCCTGTGTGTCAACCCTTGCTGTAAAAAAGGGCAGAATTCAGACAATATCAAACCATTTTCCATTAAAACAGTGTTTCATAAATTGTTTACAAATAATTAGTAATAAAATAAATAATAAAATCAAATTATTAGTGCAGTAAGCCCATTTGCAAATCAGAACTTGTTTATTTTTAATGAATAGAAATATAGCCTATCCATATATATAGCCCAGTGTTTCCCAACCCTGTTCCTGGCGGCACACCAACACTGCGTGTATTCTTTGTCTCCCTTATCAAACACACCTGATTCAACCCATCAGCTCATAATCAGGTGGGTTAATGAGCTGATGGGTTGAATCGGGTGTGTTTGATTAGGGAGACAAAGAAAACACGCAGTGTTGGTGTGCCGCCAGGAACAGGGTTGGGAAACACTGATATAGCCTATCCATGTAGCCTATAAAGGATCAGAGAGCGGGTATGAGACATTCATTTTGTAATGCTTTTTTATTTCATATCTAGATTTATGTAAATTCTTATTATTATATAAATGATAGAAATGATTATTCAAATGTAAAGACAACTAACATACTAAAGTGCATAAGAACATAGTTCTTGTTGTGTGAGAGAAAAAAATCTCAGATTAATGACTTTTGGAGGCTGGTTCCATTTTTCGTGAAAACAAAAATAAATGACAGATATAAGGTGGATGAGGGCGAGGTAATCCTCGCTCCGATGCGGGACAACAGACCATCAAACTGAAGTGAGCAAATGGTGAAACTCGGCAAACTGGTTCTCCAGGTCTGGTGGACGCAAGTACGTGTTGACCCATGCGCTGCTGTTCTGCTCTACAGAGCAAATACATTGCGGTGACTCTCGATGAATGCTCGATCAACATAGCACTTGCCTCTCCCACAAGACGCGTATTCGCCGACGCGCGTCAATTGCGCTTCAAACGTTTGCTTTTTACGCTCGTCCAGTTCGCTCTGGACGCGCGAAAGCATTTTAAAATGTTCAAGCCCAACTAGACGTGCTAGACGCGAATTTGACGCTCTATTCGCGTTTGGTGCAACCGCAGACCTTATTTACAGTAGCCTAAATACTAGCAACATTTTTTAATGGAAAATGGTTTGATACGGTCAGAATTTGGCCCCTTTTTTTACAGCAAGGGCTAACAGTTCAGTTATTATCAATAAAAACTGTCGCTTCGGGTTAAACATGTATTTTCATTTAGGCCTATTCAAATGTGTGTTTCTGAAGTCAAAATTTAACACAAGTAAAATTGAAAAAGGGAGAAAAATGCAACTATCCATTGATGATGTAAGTGGAAAAACAAGAAAAAATGGATGTCTGGTTTCCATTTTTCATATTTGCATTGTATGGTCTAAAAATTTGAATTGTGAAGCATTACACGGACCATCGCATATAAGATACTGATCTTTTTTTTTTTTCAATCCATGCATTAAAGAGTTTTTAAAAACTGAAAATGCTAGGGTATTACAAGGAAATATAAACACAAATGCATAGATCAGTATAAGTATAAAGTATCAAATATGACAAATTAAAACCTCATATTTACTCATAATTGTTTTGGCTATTATGGAAGTAAGTTAGGCTACTGCATGATGTTCATTAAAGTGTTGATTTTATAGCACGAATGAAAAGCACATAAACAGCAAATAAAAAAGGGCCATACCTGTTCCACATGCTTCCAAATGTCCTGACTGCATGTAAATGAACTTCCGTAACATGCATCAGGTTTTTTGAATAGTTCATCTTTTTATAATTAGTTGTTTGCTGGGTGGAGCTGTGAATTTGTGATGTAACTGAATCTCCTTCAATAGTATTATAAGAGGTACGGAAGTACGGAAGCCCTGAACCGCAACCTAAAAAAAAAAAAAAATGTCAGTAAAAAAAAAAAAAAAATCTGTAAAAAAAAAAAAAAAAAAATCTAGCATTTCGAGATTAAAGTCGAAATGTTTCGAGATTAAAGTCGAAATGTTTCGAGATTAAAGTCGGAATGTTTCGAGATTAAAGTCGGAATGTTTCGAGATTAAAGTCGGAATGTTTCGAGATTAAAGTCGGAATGTTTCGAGATTAAAGTCGAAATGTTTCGAGATTAAAGTCGAAACATTGTGCATTCATAACAGTGCGCGTCCACTGGCTCAGAGCGCGCGTGTGTGTGTGTGTGTGAAGTTGAACTGCCATGGATAAACCCAAAATAGTAGCTTTTCGGTCTCCTTTGATGAAACAAAACACACACACACACACACACACACAGTGTGTGAAACTCGCTATTGGCCATTATGAATGCCTGTGTGTGCGGCAATGTGAGACAATGGAAAGCACACACGCGCAGCTTCTACGCGATAGCGAGTTTCACACTGTGTATGTGTGTGTTTTGTTTCATCAAAGGAAATTCAACAGGTGCCAATCTACCAGCATTAGGCTACCATTATAGGACGTTATATACTGCGCCGGAATAGACTTTAGCCTATAGGAAAACCAACACGGAAAACACTTTTCAGACTGGATGGAGAAATCCAGCTTTATGAATGAATGAATGAATGAATGAATGAATGAATTAATGAATGAATGAATGAATAGGGCATTTATAGCGCTTTCATATATGCCTACACTCAAAGTGCTTTACAATCATATCACAGAATCTCTCCTCAACCATAAGTGGTTATTAAATCTTAGGAAATCACAGGATCCGGCCAAATGATTGGATACAGAATGATGCACTTAAAATGTATCCAGAGCGTATTTACGGGGAAGAGGAGACCGAACAGTTACTGTTGTGTTCTCGACCCAGATAGTGTTGACTAGACGAGCACGAAAACACCTCAGTAGCACGTGTGACGTGTGTAGAATTTTGTTGAAAGCCCAGATAAAAGTAAAAAGCTACTATTTTGTGTTTATCCATGGCAGTTCGACTTCACACACACACACGCGCGCGCGCTCTGAGCCAGTGGACGCGCACTGCACAATGTTTCGACTTTAATCTCGAAACATTTCGACTTTAATCTCGAAACATTTCGACTTTAATCTCGAAACATTCCGACTTTAATCTCGAAACATTTCGACTTTAATCTCGAAACATTTCGACTTTAATCTCGAAATGCTAGATTTTTTTTTTTTTTTTTTACAGATTTTTTTTTTTTACAGATTTTTTTTTTTTTTTAAGATTTTTTTTTTTTTAAGATTTTTTTTTTTACGGACTTTTTTTTTTTTTTTTTAGGTTGCGGTTCAGGGCTTCCGTACACCGCCGCTGACTTGAGAGGCAAAGAAGCTCTGGCTGCCCTGTCAAGGACGCTTGTCAAAAAGTACGGCAAAGAGTATAGAAGTACCAAGAGGTGAAACTTCGTTGCAGTTTTAACAATTGCTAAATGGCGCTGATGTCGCCATTTTGGACTGAACCAACGCCTTTACCGTTAGCACAACTATACAGCATTAACATTATTTCTGGAAAGAATTGGTTAATAATTTGGTTAAAAAAAAAATGGTCCGGGAATAACTTTCTTGGGTTCTTCTCAATTGTGGTCTAGCGGCAGCTCGACTTGAGGAACTACCAGTCCAGCTTACTTTCCACAGGCTCGTCCGGAGTGTTCCAAGTGAGATGTGATGGCTTTGCCGAGGACCTAAACAAGCTCCTCTTCCTCCTTTTCCTATGGCGAGAGCAATATGGAGTCTTCCCGCCAGCTAAGAAGGACATTTTTTTTGTCGCGGCATGAGCTTGCATCCCCAAAGCTGACCACGTCAAACTCATCTTCGGGCGAGGGAGGGCCCACCAGCTGGCAGCAGTTGGCCACATCCCCGCTGTTGCCTGCTTTTCTGCCTCTGAGGGCGCGCACTGGCACCTCGACAGTGGGCACACGTGCCGTACGTCAGTGGCGCCTCGGCGTGGGTAAGGCCCAGGCAGGTGACACAGTACTGGTGAAGGTCGAGGGGGTCAATGGGACCAGCACATATCTGGCATGTAGCAGCCATTGGATGCAGAGATGAAAACGGGGTGAGTAGTCCTCTATTGCAACTTTCACAATGACTTAGAGAAGAATTCTAGCATGAAGAAAGTTATTGCACTTTTATAGTTATTCACCACTTTTTTTGTGTGTAGCAGCCATCAAAATCTAAATTTGTTTATACTCACAGAATACAATTAAGTTGTCCAGTGAAATCACTGGGAATCATTACTTTACACTTTTGTCCTGGATTCTTGATTGTATTGCATTTTACAAAATGTTCCAACTTTTCTTGATTTGAGATTGTGTACTATATAACTGATGATGTTTTACTAAAAACAGGGTTCCCACACCTTGGTTAACTTTAAATTCAAGGACTTTCCAGATTCAATACCCTCAAATTCAAAGACTTAATGTGGGACACATCTGTTGTCCAACAAATAACATTGAGGTTCCATCGTACCATTTTGTGCACACGTAAATGTCATGGCAACATACAACACAAAGTACCTCGCGCAGAAAACACTTAACGTAAAGTGCAAATGCATGTAACTAATGTAAATCAAGCAAACTAGTATATAAAGGGCATGAAGTGTTGGCAAAATATTAATATTATATAAAATACAAATAATATGGATTTTATACTAGAAAACTTCTTGCACAAAACAAATTCAAGCACTTTCAAGGACCAATATCGATGTATGTTTGTTTTTTTTTCAAAAACTTTGCAGGGCCTTGAATTTTTTTTTTTCAGATTCATAAACTTTTAAGGACCCGTGGGAACCCTGTAAAAAAAAGTTTTACACATTCCACTAAATTTTTATATATATATTTTTTTGTTTTCCTTTGGTGACAGAATACTGTGATTCTCCGATAAAGAATAATAGAAGATTCTAGCCACCAGGGCGGCACTCTGAAACAATGAACCATGCTTTTATTTCATGTATGATTATATTACTGACACAGACGCATTAATTATTTATTCATAATATATAATATATGCCCTACCCTTTTAAAACAAAGGAACAGGGTAAAAATGTGCTAATTTTGAGGAAGCATTTTGTGGTACGCTGATACTGTATCAATGATTATCCAAGATTATTTTGGTCATGATGCATTTCTGATTTGGTTGTGAGCAAATTCTTCAGCCCACTGTAGGACCTCTGTAACATCTGAGATTTTGGTTGCATTTCCCACACCTTTAGCAACCTCATTTGAGCCATCTGCATTTCCTTCCAAGCGTGCGCACACATGAAGAGCCCATTCGATCGCTGAACCAGCAGCAGAGCCCTAAGAAGACAGAATGAAAGCAATCTCACACCTGTGAGGTTATAGTGTAGTTGTGTAATTTTTTTTTGTGTGCTGTACCTTGGGTACTTGGCAGGCAAAAAGCACCTTCCCTGACTGCTGCAGGTGAGCAAACAACATGACCTGGGAATCTGGACTGCTCTTGCTCAGCTTGAGCACAGTCTTCATCAGCACCTAAACACGAAAACATGCATACCTAATGTGAACATTTGATACAAATATAATCGTCAAAGATTACCACAAAACATACCGATATCGAGTCCGCCTGGATCAAGTCCACCAGCACAGTTTTATTAGAGTGTTTGTCCAGCAGCTCTTTGGCTTTCAAGGCAGCCTGAAGCAGAAGAAACCATAAACCATATGCCCAAATCAGCAACTAGCAAGATCACCTATAGACGTTTCTACCTCCGTGATCTCCAATTTTCTGATGGCGGTGTTGCTGCTCTTCTGCATCGCTTTCAGGCGAGTCTGCATCTCTCGTCTCTGCCATTGTGGGACAGGTGTGTTATCAACCACCTAAAACACATAACATGATATAGACAAATGGAATTCATACATCATGAACTGACTTTCCAATGAAGACGAGAGGTTATGGAGTTGCGCACATTCATTAGGAGGCCGATCTCTTTGGAGAGTTTCTGAGCTGCTGGTATAGACTGGACGCTTGCAACTTCTATCCGTGCCACCAAAGACTCCAACTCCTCCAGCATGGCTTGGCCCGCCTCACGAGCCTGTGTCACAAGAACAGTTAGCTTCACAGAAACTGAACTGCTGCCCAATGGTAGAAGTCGTTTTTCGAACCTTTTTGGCGTCATCTCCAGTAACAGCTATGATACGGCTAATGCCTTTCACCATCTGTCGTTCAGACACGATGACGAAGTCTCCAATTGCTTCCGTCCTCAATAAATGCCTGATAAAAGCAACAACATATCGGTGAGCTTGGCTTAGAGATGGGTGACATGGCAAAATACCATATCGCAATTCTTTTCAGACACGATTTTGTTGGATTCTAAGACCATTTTTTCAAGTTACTTAACAATAGTCAAACTAATTTCCGCATTTAAAACATTTAGGCCAACAAGATGAAAGAACATGAAAGAATAAGATAGATTACAAAAAAAAAGGCCCAGTTTCGCAAACAGGGCTTAGATTAAATTACATTTTAGTCTGGGACTATCTTAAGCCTTGTCTTTGAAACCGGGGGAAAGCATTAGGATTATTAGGCTACAGTCACTTAATGCACAGATGCAATATTCTCAACTACATGCGATTTCGTTCCCAGCTGTTCACATTCACTTGAGGCATAACTGATTGTGTTTATGTAAACCTTCTGTTTTTTGACAGGTTAAGTGCAACGCTATGAGCTGTGTGACTGGAAAACATATCAGAAGTTCAAACTGGCAAGGCTTTAAAATCCAATCCTATACATGGCACATCTGAACCAGCCAATCAAGGTGTTCAAGATTATTTGAAAATAACAAAAGTTGGAATTGAAGTCTGCAGGAAGTAGCAGCCCTTCAGGAGCCGGGATGGCTAACTCCTAGTCCAAAGAGTTCCAGCAGTTTCAGAAGAACCTTACGTGCCACAGCAAAGCTCCACTGAAGCATGTCTAGCATTGTTTGAGGTAAGCAGATCTGAAATAGGCATAGCCACGGACACCACTCGCACTGGATCTGGATACACCTGAAACAAACAACACGGTCAACACCTTACATATACCCCAGTTTCCATCAACAAGGTGTGGGGCCAAAGTTCTGGCCCCATTACCACCAAAGAATAGAAAGTTCTGGTGAGGAAAGTCATAGTCCTATTAACTTACATCTGGGCTGTCCAATCCTGCTTCTGGAGGGCCACAATGCGTCGGTGTTTCTCTCCAATCCTACTTAAACACACCTGAACCAGCTAAGCAAGTTCTTCAGGATCACTAGAATCTTCCAGGCAAATGTGTTGAGGCAGGACGTTTGCTCTTCAGAAGCAGAATTGGACACCCCTGTCTTATACCTTTGAAATACATTTGCTACCTCTAGGGATGTGCCAATCTGTTAATCTGTTGAGGTTTTTTTTTGTCAGATCAGGTGTAGGTCAGATAGGACTGGTCAAAATCTGATACTGTGCGTAATGGTTAATACTGTAAAGCTCGAAAAAAGTATTATGAAAGCACCATAAATGATGTCAATGTCATGCACTATATTCCAGGCGTTTAAGACATTTGATAGCTTTACTTGAGGACTAGACCATATAATTAAGTTCACAGAAACCATTCTCTCACCTGCAGCTGTCTGATGACATTTTCAATTCAGGGATGCACCAATTGTTTTGCGCAATAAAAGATTCTGGCATTGGATTGACATTGGAAAAGTGGGAATCAAGCCATCCTTATTTACCTCATCTATAGTTCTCAGACCTGGAATCAGTTTAGCTCTGGACAGAGGGACCTCTTCTATGTGCACCTCTGCATTTTGATGGATGATGCCCTGGACCAACTCCTCAACTTGCTGTAGCTCAGATACACTAAGGGAGCCCTTTATACAAGCAAATACATGTATTAGCCAGTTTGGAAATCATTAAATCCCTGAGCCAGCCACACAGCCACTGTACCTTCACACTGAAGTCGAATCGGAGGCGGGTGGCAGTGCAGTGTGACCCTCGCTGTCTAACAGAGGGACCAAGCAGCTCTCGCAGGGCGAAGTTTAACACGTGTGTGGCAGTGTGGTTCACCATGCAGCCCAGACGCCGAGCCTACAGTTGGAAACGCAACACTTACCATAGGTATTTGCATGATGCGTTACCATGTCTGATGGTACTTTAACTCCTACTTCTCCCACCTCATCCACATGAAGATGCACTTGGTCTCCAGTTCTCAAAGTCTCTGCTGCCGTGACTTGATGTACCACGTAACCCCCAGCCAGACGGACACAATTCACAGGGAACAGCACATCCTGAAAAACATAACTGCAAATGGTAAGTTAATCTTGTCATCTTGTCAAATGAGATGAGATGGGATGTGATCAATAACCTGTAATCCATCCTTGGTAAAGTAACCCTGGTCGTGCGCCTGCCCTCCCTGCTCTGCATAAAAGCTGGTTCGGTCCAGAATCACACCACAGCGCTGACCCTCACGCACCTCTGAAACCAAAGACCCCTCACAGTAGAGTGCCAGGACTGATGCTCTGCAAGGCTCAAACACTGAGAGAGAGGAAAAGAGTCAGGGTCATTGTTTAGTCTTATACCGTGTCCCAACCTGGTGTGATTTAATAAAGCGACAGGCAATAAATCCTATTACTTCCATAATAACTCTCCTGTTCTAACTCTTTTTTCGTGGCATTTGGTTCAATCAACGAACGAAATTAAACAATGAAAGATCGTTTCGATTGATAAGACCCTTACTCATCGTCTGGAATTTTGCACTGAAACTGTCTTTTGGACCTTGAACCGTTTGGTTCCCAGTAAAGTGTATTATATGGAGAAGAATCCTGGAACATTTTCATCAAAAACCTTAATTTCTTTTCGACTCAAGAAAGAAAGACATGGATATCTTGGATGACATGGGGGTGAGTAAATTATCAGCAAACGTTTTTTTAAAAGTGAACTACTCCTTTAACTGCCTTACAAACTCTTACACAAATAATCTTTTAACCCTCCAGTACCATATTGTCCATCGGACCCCAGACTGTAACAGTATTTCAGCGAGTCATCCGTGTGAGGAGCTCCTCGGCTTTGAAGCTCCGCCAGGCTATGAATATCCAGCTGGTCCACCCTATCTTCATCATCCTCCTCCGACTGAAACCTCAACTGAGAAAACAACAAATAACAAGTAAGTCCATATACCCACAATAACAGATAAATCAATAAATCAAGAAAGACATGTGCTAATACCAGTACCTTCTCATATTCATCTTCAAGAACCTCCATTTCTTTTTTATCAACCATTTTGCCCCTCTCCTCCAGCATCAGGTCAATGAGATCGAGAGGGAAGCCTAGGTTACGATGTAGCGACCAGGCAACCGAGGCTGATTAATAGATACAACACAATAAGAGTAGAACAAATCAAAGACACAGAAATAAATATTCATGCATGTGCTATTCACTGAAAATAGGGTAGTGTGTGGTTGTTAAAGATCAGGGCTGGTTTAAATCCTACAAGAGACATTGCAGTTATCATTATGCCCGTGAACAACAAATTGATTGGGATAAAAGTTTCCATGAAATGCACTTATTATTACAGAGCCTGCACAGATAATAAAGGGAATAAAGCGAATTACACCACTTTGTGGGTTTACCTGGAAAAACAGCAGAGTCTTCGTCCATATTGCTGAGAGTCCTGTCAATCACCCTCCTGCCCTGCCTTAGCGATGACAGGAACTGGGCTTCATTTTGATTAATGAGATCAATGATCTACAGAGGAAGAACGCAACTGTTTTACAAATATATCATGGGTAGAAAACATAATTCATGGCAGGTTTTCTAAATTGAAAAAAGACACGGTATACTGATATATACTATAAACACAGAATTACGGATTCGCAAATATTAAAATTGAGGCTAATGCAGATAAACCATTAACTATTTTCATATTACGGCTGATATTGTTTCAAATGCTACAAATAAATTTAAGCATCATTTTGAGATTTGTTTAATATTACATTTAACAGTGTTATTAAATTATTCGTGTTTTTAAAGATTCACTTGAATTGCTTTTTAGAACATGGCAATACACTACCGTTCACCAAGGCTGCATTTATTAGATAAAAAAATACAGATAAACAGTAATATTGTGAAATATTATTACAATTCAAAATAACTGTTTTCTACTTTAATATATTTTAGAATGTAATTTATTTTTGCAATGCAAAGCAACGTTTTCAGCATCATTCCAGTCTTCAGTGTCACATGATCCGTCAGAAATCAGTCTAATATGCAAAGATAGAAAGTATCTTTCCTGTCAATTTTAAACAATTTAATTCATCCTTGCTAAATAAAATAAAAAAGTATCGCATTAGTATATATTTTTGTAAGAAACGAAATACTAAGGTGTTTTGTAACATGCTCACCCTCTCAGACTCAGTGTTCAGCTCAGGATAAGCATCACCCTAAGAAAAGGGAAGCGAGAGGGAATATGAAACTTAAGACATGATGCAGTGATGACAGTAATAAACTGATGGGCATCTCACCAGTATATGAGCTACAGTAGGCACCAGGCTTGCTAGCGTACCCTCGGGGGCCTGCAGCACTTCTGTAGAAAACCTTACGGCGCGTCTCAATATACGTCTCAACACCAGCCTATCACAAAGACGGCATATTTCAGAAATTGTACGTGTTAAATTACCCTGCATACTTCCATGAAGTCAAACTCACTCAGCGCCTGTCATGCCTGGATAAATTCCGTCAGCGATACACACGCAGATTGTTCGAATGTGGTCCGCCACGACCCTATAGGCCATGTCCACCTGACCCGCATCGGCCTCTCCAGTTCTGCCCTGATATGCAGGAGCCTTAGAGCACTACATGCACAGACAGAGATAATGTGGCTTCATTTATATTGAACCTGGAATATTATTCTTTTAAAACGTTAAATGAAGGTTAGAGAAGAGACCTGGTGGATGGCGGACAATAGAGGTGTGAAAAGATCTGTGTCATAGTTGGAGTGTTTTCCCTGCAGTACGGTCACCAGTCGCTCTAAACCCATCCCAGTATCCACGCTGCACTGGGGCAGAGCTCGCAGGCTACCATTGCCCTCCCTATAGCATAAAGAGAGTCCATTTTCAAATCCTCACAATGTGTGTTATTAACATATTATTCCACAAATAAATGGAGGCAACAGGAAGGAAAAAATTGTTAATCATTTTTGTTAATTTAAAAAAAAAATAGCAGAAATAAATTATAAATATTAGATTAAAAAAAAACATTTGGAAATGTTGCCATGGCAACTAACTGAAGGAAGTACTAAAATTACTAACTGGAAAAAAAAAAAAACTAAAACCTAAATAAAAATAAACTAAACCAAAAAAGTATGTTTATTATAATTTTGATCATATCTTCAGATTGAATTAATCGTTAGTATTAATAGAGTGAATTAATCACGATTAATCGTATTCAAAATAAAAGTTTACATATATATGTACAGTATATATACATGTGTTTACATAATATATGTGGGTGAACTGTATAATTATTTTGTATATAAATACACACACATGCATGTATATTTAAGAAAAAAATATTATTTATATATATAAAATATTTCTATATATATATATATTTATATATATATATATACACAGCATATACAGCAAAATATTTCTTTAATATATACAAGCATGTGTGTGTATTTTTTATATATATATATATATATATATATATATATATACATAAAATAATTATACACCGTTCACCCACATATATTATGTGAACACAAACTTTTATTCTGGATGCAATTAATCGTTTGACAGCCCTAATAATATATATATGTGTGTGCGTGTAAAATAACACTGGAAGTGACGTTTCTAACCTGTTATACTGCATAAAAACTAGATTCCAGATTTCCACCACATCCGGACTGTCCGCATTGACCAGCGAGGTGGCGTTCCGATTCCCAACATGATCGTAGTGAATCTCGGTGCAGGGGCCACACGGACCAGTCTCGCCCATTTCCCAGAAATTATCCTTCATTCCAAACGGCAACACGTGATCCGGCTGCACTCTGCGTGGAAATGTCAAAACAATCCAGTGAATCTCCAACGGTAAACTAAGCAATTTTGGTTTGCACTGCTTTGAACGTACCCTATGCTGAGCCATATTTGCCGCGTTTCCTCATCAGCAGGGAGACCATTGGCCACGTCCCCAGAGAAGTACGAGATATACAAGCGCTCTGCAGGAATGCCATACTCTTCCGTTAAAAGACGCCAGGCCATTGCACAGGCTTCCACCTGGATTGTGAATCATTCATTTAATCAAAAAAACATGAAAATGCTACAGAGCCCATAATTGTATATAGTGATGGATGGGGAAAAAATTACAAATGAGATGGCTGGAAAAAAAATATTTCAATGCATTTGCATTCACTCTCAAAACTTTTGCGTCCCCTGAGAAACTTTGTCAGGCTTTTTCTCTGGGATCGTGATGGTTTTGAGAAAGAACACAAGTTTCTCTGTGACCTCAATAGTTTTGAGAGAAAATGCCTAGTTTTTCCCCCATCTTGTATATTTTCCCACGTAACATCTTGAATAAACTTCTTGCATGAACATATTCATGAAATTTATTTTGATATTTTTTAGTGTCGTAAAATGTCCTGATGTCACAAAGAAGAAGAAAAAAAATCCTAATTAAAAGAACGAAATTATTTACCAAACCTTGAAGTAATCACCAAACGACCAGTTCCCCAGCATCTCGAAGAAGGTGTGATGGTACAGGTCTTTCCCCACATCCTCCAGGTCGTTGTGTTTGCCTCCAGCGCGGACACACTTCTGACTGTTCACCACCCGCCTGTATGATGCCATCTCACTGCGGGGGTCCGCACAGCCAAGGAGAATTGGCTTAAACTTTGGGACAATAGTCAGAGACCATTACATTACAGAAGACAACGGCCCCAAAAACACTTAAACCACAATTTAAAAAAAAAAATGCACTCTTTTAATATTATAAATATATAATAAATAACTTTAAAGTTTATATTATTAATCTATTTTGTTTTTGCTTTATTTGTTTATTATATGTTTTTTAAAGAGTAAACAACCAACATTTTCCTTACAGCATTACCATGATACGTGTCCAAAAAACATAGCAGTGCCATTGCACTTTGACATGGCTGATCGGTTTTATACGTTTAATATCTTGCATGTATCGTTATTGGTTTTGCGTAAGTTACCTGGTTCATTCCTGCATTGACGAACAGAAGACTCGGGTCTCCTCTCGGACGCACGGAGGAGGACGGCACCACTCGGTGTTCATAACCTTCCTTGAAAAAGTCGATAAACTTCTGCCGTACTTTTTTAGATGTGAATTCTTCATGAGATGTTGATTTGGACAAGACAGAGCACGTTCTTATTCCCGTCAATACAGTGCATAATTTTATATTTGAAAGTGCACAGTGGAGCTGTTTCCCCAACACTATGCGCGCAGCCATCTTGCCGAGTCCTAGCGTCAAACGGCAGCGTCCAATCAGCGACGAGAATGAAATGAAACTGAAGCTAAACATGACAATGAAGAAATACATTCAAAATATATATAAAAATGTTATGTACATACATTATATTATTATTATAATGTTCAGAAAAAATATGAATTATCATTAAGATAAAATATTAATCTTAAACATGTGATTTGTGTAATATTCTAAATGTATAAAACAATTATATTTACTAATTCAGGGTGATTATATAATTAAAGGTACATTTCAGATCAACAAAAAAGTGAAGAAATCAGTGTGAAATTCTGCAAAATAATCTAGTTGTTTCCACTTTCCATAATATTGTTCTAAATTCATTAGTTTGCAAGCTTAAGCACAAATTACTTTTTAAATATTTTAATGAAAATAAATATTCAATTAATTGTTTTGTCAACTGTGTTACAGACAAAAGTTGTCACTTAAGTGGCGTAACTGTTTGGTATGTAATATATATATATATATATATATATATATATATATATATATATTCAGGGTTATTTGATGGAAAGAAAATTCACAAGAAAAGCATTCATTTGTAATAGAAATGATTTGTAATGTAAATGTCGTGACTGTTAATGCATTCTTGCTGAATCAAATCTTATTGACCCCAAACTTATAGTAAAGTAGACCAACACACAAGTCAAAGTACATACAGTATTTTATTATTATATAATCACATTTGTTAACAGCCAACTACAAAAGTGTAGTAGCTAGTATTGCATTTCTGCAACAGGAAATGTTCCTTCCTATGACTCTTATGAGAACATGCAAACAAAAGATAAGAGCAATTGCACAAATCATCCTGTACTGTATCTTTGACTCAAGCACTTCTCTCTTTCAACACTGAGCGGTTTTACAATAACTTTAGGAGGTGTTCAGTCACCTAATAACAGCTCCAATAAAACAAAACAAATATATTATGCTTCCTCCCTTAACAATCCTCACTGGCTAATAACAGTCGGCACATTGGCCACAGTAGCAGAGAATACAAAAGTAAATAATGCATAAGAATAGTAAGGCACGAGGTTGTTGGATTTTTTTCTGTCAAACAGACGTTCCTTCTTTTGACTCTTCAGTTTCCTGTAGAGAAAATCAAATGAATTAGACATCACAAAATCAACCTCCATTTATTATGAATGATTTTTCATGATTTATTTATTTATTTATTTTTAAATTCAAGTGCCCTTATAATATTAACCACACCAACTTCCCCTCCCTCTTGCTGCATCATCTCTTCTCTGATAATGCTGTTGTGAACTATTTTCTTCTACAGTGTAGAAATACTAAATACTCTTGTGAATGTATGGAGAGTGTTAATAATGTACCTTGTCCTGTAACTGTTCCGGCAGGTTCTTCTCTTCATCCAGCTCTTCCTGAGAGCTTTTCAGGACCTGCTGCAGTTCAGAGGCTGCCTGGCCGAGGTCTTGCATCAGCTTCGTCTCGTTCTCCACTCTCTCCTGACATAGACACAAACAAACCACACACCATCAGAGAGCGGAGATCTTCTATATGCTGGTCCACACCTGAGATTTTGAAGAGGCGTTGTAGGAACCTTTAGCTCTTCAGTTGGTCCTTCACCAGCAGCTTCCAGCTTTTCTAATGGAGGCTCGAGATCCCTGTCGCACTTCTGCGCCTGAGTGGAAAAATACATGTGTGAGCACCCCTAGCATTTCAAATGCTATAACAGTTTAAATTATATTATAAATTAAAACTTATTTAAAAAATAAGTTAAATTACTAGTTAAGGAAAGAAAAATATATTACATGTATATAAAAAAATAAAAACAAACTAAAATTCAAATACTTGTAATCTAAAATAAAATGAAAAAAACAAACAAAAATAAAACAAATTAAACTGAAAATTAAACGAAAAAAAAATTCAACCCAGATAAAATTAAATATTAAAACAAAAGAGTTTAATCAAAAAGAGTTAATACACATGAACACACACACAAGCAGTATTGACCTGAGTGGACTGTGCGCTCTTCTCGTTCTCTACCTGCCGACTCACTTCCTGTAGCTCCTGCTTGACCTGTAATGCACAGCACAGCAGTCACTCAAAGTAGAAAGCCACATGTGTAACATAAGACAAACCGATGTTAAACTTACCAGTGAAAGTTCTGCTCTCTGTTCCTGAGCCTCTGCTTTGGCCGATACCAGCTGGACCTGCGTTTCTGATAACAATGCCTTCAGCTGAGTAGAATATAAAGAAGGATATGACAACATATTCAAACATGTTAACGTGAATGTTCACACATAACACTGCGAGTAAAACACTGCATTATCCATGCCAGGCCAGTAGATGGCGATGTCACTTTGTAAAGAAGCACTATACGCGCATATAGACTGAACACGAAATACATAATAATCATCACTTTCATGAATTTATGTTTTTGTAGTTTACACAGTGACGATAACAGTATAATTTTTCTTTAAACTTTGACCCCAGTTTTCAATGGTTTGCATTTTCAGGTCCCCATAAAAGTTTTTTTAGTTGTCATGTAAACGGCTTAGACACATCTTCTCTTTTTAAATAAAACTAATTGAAACAAATAAACATTAATATAATAAACATTAAAAAAAAAAAAGATTTACTCTTCCGGTCAAAACTATACAGGAACCTCAGGCCCTGTCCACATTACTGCGTTTTCGTTTAAAAACGGAGACCTTTAGCTACGTTTGCACCTCCCGTCCAGACTTAAACGGAAAAAACGAAGACCTAAAACGGAGAAGTTTAGAAACGCTGCACCTCCGTTTTGTGTTTTGAATCTCCGGAGGGCGTTTTAGTGTAGAGTTTGGAAATGATGACGCAGAGGCTCACGCTCGGCACGTTTTCAGTCGTTTTAATGTGGACGGAGATCAATTCTAGTACGCAGATAAAACACTGGTGTGGACGAAGATCGTTTTCGTTTTAATTCTCCGTTTTTAAACGAAAACGTAGTAGTGTGGACAGGGCCTCAGAGTCAGCGAGTCGTTTCACCTGAGACATTTCTTCTGCATACGTCTGACTGATGGTTATGGATTCCAGTTGTTTCTCTAGCTGGGCTTCCAAAAGCATCACCTGGCCCTTCAGCTACAGAGAACAGAGGAAAAGTACGTTTCTACAAGTGCAGCATGAACATTCATCAAAGCTTCTCCTTTTGCATTTCACAGAAAAAAAAAAAGTTTAGAGCAATGCGAGTCAGAAACCCAATCCCCAAAACCAAAGAACAATGGCAAATGTAAGCATGAACCTGATTGGTGTCCTGTCTTTCCACATTTATTGTCTCCTCCAGGACCTTTACCTGATCCAGAGCCTGTGGAAGATTCACACTTGAACTGAAGTGTACTAAACAGTCACGCAAATCCAGCTTCAGTGAAGGATGGTCTTACCGTCTGTTTTTCCTTCTCAGCATCTGAAAGCTTTGACTTCCACATGAGTTCGCCATCCTCCATACTACTCTGCAGAACTTTCAGCGCACTCTCCTGTACAAAACACACAACATTCAGCCAAAACCCTTTTTCAAAAAGTCAAGACTGGAATCCGCAGACCATGAGGTGTGTGTTTTTTTTTTTTTTTTTTTTTTTAAGTAATTATAAATGCAACATTTACAAACTTTGATATTATGGTTTCATTCTTCTTCCTAAAAACAAACATCACAACATTATTAATTGATATTTTTCAGGTGGAGACAGTTAAAGTAAAGTACTTGTAAAATAACACTGGATAACACTGTATAAATTAAACAGATGAATCCTTGTTAAAATGTAGCAGCCAAGAGCAGTGAATGATTTTTCTCTTTGTTGCTTGATTAACATTATAAACACAGAAAGCAGCAGGAATATTAGGCTGCTGTCGCTATAAGACCCATTGTAAGGAACCAATATACTAATACACATTTTTCTCAATTATTTACATTCACTAAGCCAAAACCAACTACCAGGATACTGGCCAAAATGTCTTTTTTTTTTTTTTTTTGGTGAATTTCTGTGCAAGACGACATGAAAGGGATCGAGCTCAATTCTGTATTCTGTATTTGTCTCTGTCTGAGACGCAGATTTCTGGGCCTGTGCTTTGGATGTTTGCGCACAGAACAGTTCCCACACAGTAACGAATTGAGTGCGTCTTGCTCTTGAATATTTAAATTGCCAATTAAGCCTTAAACTCTTGTGACCATGCAACACTGGCGTGTCAACTGTCCCAAACCTTGTTCACATTTTTTACGTTCATGTTCTTAAAAAAATGCATTGAATTCACAAATATTACTAGCCAACTGGAGATTGACAGTTTCATATAATTTCATTTGGTGCTTGGTGACTGAAGTGTTAATTTTAGACCCTGCAGTGCTGACACCTACTGGCTTGGATGTATTAAGGTTTTGGTTTTAGTTCCAACATGGCGGCCATCAATTTTAAATCTCATGCAAGATGAGTGATTCTCCGGTTTCTCTTCTCTGTTTTTCTCATGAGAGTGTAAATGAGTTTAAACATATCTGTAAATTTCACTTTAAAATGCATGATAAATGTGTGCATGCCACGGTACCGTTTCACTGAGAGTTGATCTGTACTGCTCACACTCAGTCTGAAGTGACCTCTGTCTCTCTTCTGATAGGGCGAGTTTCTGCTGCAGATCCTGACACATAATCAGATAAATAAGACGTGAGAAGAGAACAACCGTGCAATGCAGGTGTGTGTCCTTAGAGATGATCTCTCACCGTCACATCTGAACTGGACATTATGTGCTGCTCTTCTGCTGGACTCTGCTGATTTTCTGTCAGGTTCTTCTGTGCTTCATGTGTGAATGCTTCCAGCCAGTTTGTCTACAACATACATAGCAAAAAAATAGAGTATACAAATAACATACTATTTAATTTTAAAATGACCTGTGCTCTAAACTTATTCACATATTTAATACATTTATTCACAGGAATTAATACAGAATTCTAACCTGATGCGTTTCTATGCTGATGTGAGGGAAGAGCGTCTGGAAAGCTTTTCTGGTGTCTGTCTGGAAAGAGCTCAGCTGCTGCTCAACTTCACTCTACACACACATAAGCCTTTGATCACTACATTAAATTACGCCACACAAAATGTTTAATAGTTATAGCCAACTACAGCCTTTTGATGATAATGAACACCTCATTCATCATGGTTTGTGTGTATTGTGTAGATATAGAAGAAAGCACATGTTTATATCAGGGTTACCCGTGCGGCCTTGGCCTGGCTCAGTCTTTCTTCACTCAGCCTCTCAGCAGCAGATAGGGCTTCCACTGTGGCATAGTTTTTATCTCGCAGTTCCTGAACACACACCACAGTTAGATGTGGATGGATGGATAGATAAACAGGTACTTAAATATGAACTGAGAGGTAATCAATATGTATGGACGAGCAGGTTGGATATGGACAGATGGGAAAGGCAGATATACGCCTGGTTCAGATTACATGATTTTTTTTTGTCTGTTATGATAGTCACGGTGTCAGATTACGCGATTTTTACTCCTAAAATCTTGTGTCGAGGGCAAGACACACGTCAGACTACACGTTGCTTCCTGACCAGTCATCGCATGCCGTCTTTAACGGCGCGCGTGATGTCATCGAGCAGGCGAAAATAGTAGCTAGTGACTTCCGGAAACGAGCGTAAACAAACAATGGATGAAGCGGTGAGTGTTGTATTGGCTGTCCTGTGTTCAGAAAAAAAGTTTAAAAAAAAAAGAGAGAAAACCCGACAATGAACACGTTCCTGGATTGCTCGAAGAGGACAGTATGGGCTGTCAATCAAAGAGAACTTGAGGTAAAATATTGTTACTTTTAGTTTTAAGTTAGCACTGTCGTCTCTCTTTCGTTTTGCAATTTTTGAAAGTTGTGTAAAAGTTTGTGCTCATATTGGTCAACCTCATACATGTGACGAAACTGTCGTGGACGACTGTTAAAAAAAATTCAACATGCTAGTCTTTTTGTGGTGAAGCATCGCAGACGCGACGTAGGTTGTCGCCCACGATGACACGCTATACGAGATGATACGATCGAATCTTGCGTCCCGATGGCCGTTGTCGTTTACGAATCCCCACTACACCCTACGTCAAACGGATTGTGCCAAAATCAGGCTAAAATCGTGTAATCTGAACCAGGCAATACATGGATGGGCAAGTAGGTATGGATGAATGAGTGGGTATATATGGACAGATGTGTTGAATAGATAGCAGTTAGATAAGGATTGACAGATAAATTCCCAAATTAAAGGTTGGGTAGATGGACGTAAAGGTAGGCTAGGAATGTTCAGACAGAGTGTGGATATGGATGGACAAGTAGATATATTTGAATTAGACAGGCCACGTAGATATGGACAGTTATGTAGGTAGGGATGGACAGACAGGTAGATATAGACAGACGAGTGAGTAGATATGGATAGATATGCTGGGTAGATATGAATGGACACATGTAGGTAGATGGACAAATTGGTATACATGGACGCACAGGTAAGGTAGATATGGTCAGACCGGCTGGGTAGATAAGAAAGAACCGATAGGCAAGCATGGACCAACAGTTTGGGTAGACATGAATACATATGGATGGACGTGTAGAGTAGAGATAAACTCACGTTGCTCTTGGCCTTTACTCGCTCCATCTCTTCTTTAAGCTGTTGAAGTTCCTCCTCCAGCGAGATCATGCGTGCGTCCTTCTCCAGACTGTCAGACACAAAAACAAAAGTCAGTCATTATCAGAAGCATCCAGGAAAGAAAAAAAAGGAAGACCAATATCTGGAGGAATTAAAAGAAATCTTACTTCTCAAACGGCGGTTCAGCTTCAACAGTTTCAGCCTGTGGATATAAAATGATATACCAAATCGCATGTATTACACACATGCAAATATTATCAAATGATTAAATGCTCAACTCACACTTTCCATTTTCTCCAGCTGAGCCTGTAGAGATGCCACCGAATCTTCCTTTTCTTTCAGACTGAGGGATAGTGAGAATGTAATGCATTTAATCCATATTGTCTACAAAATATACTTGAAGAAAGCATCAGCTGTATTGAATACCTAGCTTTCAGTTGGTCGATCTCAGCTGTGTATTCCCTTCGTTCCGTGTCCGCCTCATTAACCCTGAAAAGTCCATGTTTAGATCAGACACCAGAGAGTGGCACATTCCCTGAGGTCTTGAAACAACTGGAGTCGTTGAATCGATCTTAATTTGAAGGTAAATTAAATTCATCAAGTTTAAATCACAAATCCAGTACCTATTCTGAGTCTCCTCAGACTGAGCTCTCTTTAATGCGTCAAGCTCCTCCCTCATCTGATTAAGCTCTGTCTCCATTGATGACAGCTGGTCCTCCCTCTCTTTCAGACTACACACAATAAATCAAAACATGGTGAAAGTGGTTTCACCAAGTGAAATAAGTTCCTGGATCAACATCTTTGTTGAGCCTAGAACAACATTCCAATTAGCCAATCAGATTTGAGGGACACGTTTATCGTTTATGTCAAATTTAGTCTTAGTGTTATTCACATAAATTCCCTCTGATTTGAGGGATAACTTATGAGTAGAGTTGGGACAAAATTTTCAGGAAGCAAAATGTGTTGATCCAGGAACATGTCAATTAAAAATGAAACTGTAAATGTAGTGACTCAAATTAAACGTGAACAGTTCACAATACCTGCTCCTCAACTGTTCAACCTCCTCGCAGTTGATATTCTGTACAGAATCAATATAGGGAGGAGAATAGCATTGTTTGTTATTCCAAAAGTTACACAAAGTACAGTATCTGATATTACAATCTCAATGATCATGTCAAAAACCTGGTTGGGCAAGTAGGTATGGATGAATGAGTGGGTATATATGGACAGATGGGTTGAATAGATAAGGATTGACAGATAAATTCCCAAATTAAAAGTTGGGTAGATGGACGTAAAGGTAGGCAGAGTGTGGATATGGATGGACAAGTAGATATATTTGAATGGGCTGGGCAGATATGGTCAGACAGGCTGGGTAGATATGGACAGATATGTAGGTAGGCATGAACAGAGAGGTAGATATAGACAGACGAGTGAGTAGATATGGATAGATATGCTGGGTAGATATGAATGGACACATGTAGGTAGATGGACAAGTTGGTAGATATGGACGCACAGGTAAGGTAGATATGGTCAGACCGAAAGAACTGATAGGCACTGTACTCTGAACAGTATCTGATATCACAATCTCAATGATTATGTCAAAAACCGGGTTCTGCTGCTTTGCATTGGCAACTAGATCACACAAATTTGTACCTGGATCTCAGCCTGTACTGTTGCTTCTGTTTCCACCGAGGGCTTTTCCTCAGTAACCTGTGGTGTCTGAGACAGCTGTGCTCTCAATATCTCCAGCTCTTCACATCTGTCTTTTAGCTCTTTTTCTGTAACACGCATACGCTCCTGGAGTTCTGTAACAGAAGTTATTTCCATCTTAAAAGGTACAAAAACATACTCACTTTTTTCCATTTGTAAACTGAGCCAAGGCAATGCATAATAAGTGAAACAAGATGTGTTTGAGTGTACTGACCAGTAAGGGCCTTGGTTTGCTCTTTTGATGCATCTACTTGAGTCTGTAGGATTGTGCTTCCGCGCTGAGCCTCATGTAGTTCTTCATAGACTCGATCTAACTTCTGCTGCAGAGCCTTCTCTGTCACCACACGGGACGCCTAACACAGACACAGAGGATTGTCAAAGGAATAGTTCCCCCCCAAAACAGCACCAAATATATTGCAAAGTTATTGTACAGATTCAGATTTGGAACCTGATAACCCCTGTTCACCAACAACTTTCATTGTATATGCATGCAGGTTTGGAACAACAAATGTAAATAAACTGAGCAATTCCAACAGGGTCCTCAGCAACAGAATTGTCATGGTACAAAGACCACAGTCACCTAAGAGAGATGAGATAAAAGGGAAAAGGTCAGGGCTTACTTGTGTTTGCGCTAGCTGTTCTTCAGCAGTGGAGATCTTGGTTTCAAGAGTCTTCCTGCGCTCTTCCTCAGCATGCTGAGCAGCCGTGCGCTCATTCAGCTCTCGGTTTAGACGCACACAATCCTGACGCAGCTTTGCCAACTCTGCATTCTGCCTGTGCATGTGGAAAAGCCACAGATTTACAAAAGGGAAATGGTTAGATAATACATTTTATAGCTGGAGGCAGGTTTAGTGTTAGCTTGAGTTGTGTAGCTTTTATTTTATGGCTTTTGCTAGGAAATTACAAGAGGGGGAATGGGATCAGTACATGACACATGTTAGATATGAACCTGCATCTCCAAAAATGAACACTAAGGATAATTAATGTGCTTTCTGTCATTTCTGTGCCAATTAAATGTATTTGAACAATTCGATTTTTATATTTTCTGAAGAAAAACCTTGCCTGGGCAAAATGAGGTGGCATGCTTTGGCAATGGTTTGAATGCAAATTCATTCCCTGACATTAGATGGCGCCAATTTGCTCTGCAATACCACTCCATTTCAGTTTTTTTATCAAGATGTTTGTAGTCCCTGTCATGTTTGTCATTTAGTTCTTTATGTTCTAACACCAACGAGAACTGCAGCTCTACATTCATCTTGCCTTGCATCTTCCTCGTCTTATTTCTTCCTGGCAGTGTAGGTGGCGACGCTACTTGGCGTACATCTTCTTCTTTGCATATGTGTGCTCGGCAAGACCGTTTT